TTTTGCCTTACTCGATGCTCTTTATTAAAGTCTTCAGTGCCTTGTAGTTGGCGCTGTTATTGTTTTCGCTATTGGTTTTTAATTGTTTTCAAAGCAACAGGCACATTGAGGCAACATTAACATCCATTTTTATATTATATTAAAGTTATAATGTTTAAGTATCTTTCCAACCACTGTGCAACCCGACTTGAAGTTCAATTCAGATGAATTACAAGCAAATCATATTTGCCGGCTCGATCCAGCGTGTCAGAGTTTCAATGTCAATGCTGCGAGCTAAGGATGAGGCCGCCGAGGTTCAGTGTCATGGATAAATATCGACGGCCCAACCTTTTCTTCGGCGATGGAATAGAGTTCGCTGGGAAGGCGGAAGTTGGATCAAAGAGTGCTCATCGATATGGCAACGTGCGAGAATCGTAAGCATGTTGTTTGCTTGTCTATTAATATGTGTGCTGATTCAGTTTTTGGAATCCGAGAGCTCTTGCTCATCACGGAGGTGCTGATGTGGGTAGGCCCGCAGAAAGTGCCAATCAAAAATAGTGCCCCCCCACTGAAATGGAAACAGGTTGACCCCCACGCAAGAGGATGTAGTCGGAGCTGAAGTTCTTACAAGTGGCATCGAGTTGATCCACACGTACGTAGCTCTACACTTGGCGAGCGGATTAGCTGCGAACTCCGGCACATTATCTCTAATGCAATCTTCGGCATTCCAGGGCCAGAGACAATGGACCATTCATCCATTGACCTGTGGGGCAAACCTCAAACGTTGTGGCACGCACTCATCGAAGGTTCTTCAATTGAATTCGGTCATCTAATGTTTCTCAAACCAAATCGGGAATTGTGTAACACAGACAGAAGTGCTATGCAGACAATCGCCGAACAAAAGGCAAATATTTCGGTAGCTGCAACACCATCATTTGTTGCCTTGACTGGCAGTGGGAACAATCTTTATGACCACTGGGGCCATAAATAAATCACAGGACCCATACTCCCATCGCCTACAAAATGCAATGTTTAGTCGCTGGCTTTTATTTGTCTTTTGGTTACGTGTGTATACACAGGGAGAAATGTCTGCAAATTAGCAAAAATAACTCACCTAAAAAGTCTTTATTTGTTAAGAATTAATATTAGCTGATCACCTCCCTTGACAAATGAGTATGTAAAAACTACCATCATTCTTGGAAAGTGTTTCTTTTTGTTGAGTGTGGGAGGCCCACATCAATCATCGTGCCTCCCTGCCTGCCTCTGATTGAGCTTCGTCAGAATGCCCGTGCCACAGCTTCTCCTGGCCCACCGTTCTGTTTCAAGTTTAATTGCTTCGCATATGTTTTAATTATGCCGAGTGCTGAGATTTTAGAGCCAAGAGCCAAGAGTTGTGAGCTGTGAGCCAAGTTTCACTGAATGGGGCACTAGCAGCAACTAATTTGGCAATTTGGCCAACTGCACGAGGCGGCTGTGTGTGTGTGAGTGTAATTACTTTATGGAGTGCACTGTGAATGCGTCTTTTATGACAGCCATTGAAGTGCAGAGCGATCGAGATCGGGTCCATTGCTCAAATGCCAAAGGTGAGTGGAGCCACCGAGGATGAGCTGAGCACATTTCCAGGTGCGACCTTCGCGTGCTTTGGTTCTTTGATGGAATGTTATCAGTAAGTAACTGCCGGGACTTGGATGGTTTTGGATGTTGTTAATGAAGACGTTTGAGTTAAATAGTTATTTATTAGAAGTCTATATAATATCTACTCAAATAATGCAAATAATAATGGATAAGTTATGATAGTAATCGAATAATAAGTAACTTACACTTTCCCACAAAGAGCTTAATGACTTTTAAGGGGAACATTAAATCACATCTATTAAAAAAGAGCTGTCATACTGAAAGCCACTCATTTCCTTATAGCCCTCCCTACCATAATTCACCCACACCCAGCTTACTCACATCCATTCCAGTTCAGTTCACTTGAGAGTGGCTCGAAATGTCAAAGTTTGGCAATTTTTTGTGTGAGTCAATCGACTTTTACTCCGATTCTGGCAAGATGGCAAGAGGCAGCGACCTTCGCATCGGGCGAAAAATGCAGTCGGTGTGAGGTACAAAAATCTGAAAACTCAAATCCGAAATCACTCTCGAAAGATCATCATCTAGAGTGGTTCGATATATACAAAGTGAGGCGCAATTTACATCAAAAGATGCCTTAATTGATTCTGTCCGCAGTGCCATGGTTCCGTCCGTCTTGGGGGGGTATTGCATCAATAATTATCGTAGTTTCATTTAAATTACACGTTGGCGGCGCTCCACTCGTCAGCATTCTAGGTTACAAAACAAACACAGATACCGATCTGAAGATACAGATACGTATTGAGATTCGGATACGGATTCAGATTCGAGCATTTGTACACAAGCATTTCAAGGTCCGCCCCTCTCCAAGCTCTAGAGCAAACCATCAGAAATTACAAATCGTCATTGTCTTGGACTTGGCGCATCATCACCTGGCTGGGTGCCATTAGCTACCCTCTCCATCTCCATCTCCAACTCGAACTCGAACTCCATCTAGATGGCCTCTCTGTCTGGCACGTTCAATGTAAATTAGCCGATGCAGGAAATTAAATGATTTTTTAATGTGCTGGAAAAATGATTACAAACGTAAAAAAAACAACCAGAAGAGACGCTGAAAACTGAAAACTGAAAACCGAAAACAGATTTCAAGTTGTTCATGGAGTGCTATTGAATATGAATTTCAGTTTTTGTTTCCGAGACAAGGAATGCGGCAAAGCGAAGTTTTATTTAATTGTTTTGTTTACAATCCAAAACTCATATTAGCCATTATGAAGTGATGAAGTCTGCCTAGCTCTGTTATAGTTTTTGTTTATTTATTTTAATTTTTCGCATTCGCATATTTGCAAACATAACTTCAAATGATCTTGGTAATTACAAAACTTTCGGAGTTTATTCTCTAATTTATTTTTATTGTGGTCGGTGGCAAGGTCGTGTATTACTTGCAGAAAAGCACTATGCGGAATTCGCTGTGAGGAAGCTATTCAGACCAGCCTTCCTATCCTCCTTCCTTCTCCTCCTCTCATCCCTTCAATATCCCCCGCCATTAATTTCCAGCTCATTATAGGCGTGGCATCGTTTGGCCTCTGAATTTACAATTCATAAACTTGGCATTATCGAAAATGAAAGTCAGCTCGTGCCAAATCGCATAATGAGTACAGACCGTTAAAACAAAATGCCTGCCAAAAATTCAAATTCGCTACGCAAGCGATCAATGAGCCAAAGACAATTGACCAAAGAAATATTTGCAGATCGTGATGGATGCTACGCCCACTGTTTGAATGAACATGGAATATGGCAATAAAAATATTGAGTTACTTTTCCCTGTTGTCAAGTATTGTGTCCAAGAGCTGTTCAAGAGTTCAAGTCTCCTTTGTGTTATGCAATCGACTCTTTAATGGGATAAATAAATATCCAAAACTATTGAGCAAACAATTCGAATTATTTTTGCAGGAAATAAATGAATGGGTTTTTTTGGCCGCAATTTAAGCTGATTTAAGCTTATCAAGGATATCTAAAGATAATATCTGTTTTGTTAAATAAATTTATTTTGTTAAACTTTCATTACTACAGATTACAAGTCAGTTATCAGATTTTAAAGAATATTTTGATTGATTTCCTCTTTTTCGAACTTATGTACTGCTTACTTTATTATTACTTACTATTATTTCAAAACAAAACACTTTTTACAAAATCAGTAAATGCATAGCCTTGCTAATTTTAATTATCACATTCCATTCAGATACCCATAAAAAATTCAATTATTCAAAGCAATAAAATCTCCATAAGATTCTTTAATAATTATATTTTGTATAAATTAAAATTCTTCGCTTAAGTTCAGTTTGATATAAATCAAAATTTTTGGCACCAGGGCGTATCTTTCCCACCAAGATAACGTATCTGAAAATCGTTTTGAAACGCTATTTCCCTGACTGTGCTCACAGCTCAATTGCAACTTTATCCGACTAGAAACCATGTCAACGCCAATCCAAACGGCCACATCTGTGAACTCTGGGGCATAATCCAGCTCATTAGTTGTGCCGAAAAACAAAACCGAACAAATCCCAGCGAAAACTCCCACGCACTAAGGGGAAAACAATTTGCTGCAGCCATGTGCCTGCCTGCAGCAAGTTCGTTGCCTGAGTCTTTTGTTTTTTAGCTTTTCGAGGCAGCCGCTGCTAAAGCTGCCGCAAGACTGAAGCTCGCGATCCGAGATGAAGATGCGTGGAGCAGCTGCCTCCGCTCACTTGGCTGTCGACGTCGCTGCCTGCTGCATGACTAATTCCATTACAAATAAGTGTTTCTGCTATTACACGAACGGCAACAAATGTTTATGAGGCTGCAACCGCAGGAGCGCGGAGCACGGTACTCCCTCGGCTCATTTGTTTGGATGTTTGGATGTCGCCGCGGCACTCATCTTCGCTCATTTGCCGAACAGAGAAACGAAGCCAGCTCGTCAAAATGTTTGGCGCTTTAATTTCAAAGTAACTAGTTTACTATAACAAACCTCCTCAAGCGTTTTCCCTCTTTTCTCGCGAGCACCGAGAGCAATCTGCTCTTCCTCCGCTCCGTGCTTTGCATTATTTTGTAATGTGTTTTTTTTTCTCGAGTGCGCTCGTTCGGCTGTGGCACTCTTTTTTTTCGACTGCCCGAAAATTGAAATAACGAACTGAACTGAACTGAGCTGACAAAAACAACAAAAAAAAAATACACATTTTGGCGCGCAATTTTTCGAAGCCGACGTCGACGCCGCAGCGTTAGCTGCTGCTCATTTCAAATATAAATACTGGCCTACGAAATTGTTTCAGTATCACAATCAAGTCAACCATCTTCACAAGAAGAACACAGCCAACAGAGCGAATTTAACAAAACCGTTTTCGTGTGTGCCAAAATCCCAAACAAGTGACAACACAAAATGAAGGTATATAGCCAACTAGAACTGTCGAGTCAAGTGCAAAGTGGTGTGCTGTGTGAAAAAGGATCCTCACTAAAGGATAAGGGCATGAATCTTAAAGAATGATTACAATATAAATATTCAGGATAAAGGATATTATGTATTTCGAGTATATTAGGATACAATAGCTATCGAGGTTATCAAGGATATATTCATAAGGAGTGAATAGTCAGGATAAAGTGAACTTGATTTCAATTTAAACCAGTAAAATATAAAAGTTACGATATATTTGAATAATTTTTATTATTTATATATTTAAAACATGTTAGAAAAACAATACAAACTTCAAATTACATTTCCTCATATTTTAAACTCGCTCACAAAGGTGATAAAAACATATTTTCAAATTTTTTATTCACATATTTCCTACAAGCCAATCAATCGCCCTCATTTGAAATCCGTTTTTGGCAATAGATCGATCAATCAATTAAACAGCTCATCATGCTAATGAAGCTTTCATTGTCTGACATAGCACTTGGTCCGCTAATCGGAAGGAGAAGACATGAAATATTAATATTTAAGCCATATTAAGAGTCAAGTTCAGCAGGGCGATTAATCAAGCGTAAATCCGCATAATAAATTTCATAAGCTGTCATCATCGCGGCTAAGATAGCCATCAATTTGTCGGGAATAGCTACTGTTTATTTATTTTTTTCGTTAAGTTACGGACTCAGAACACGACACCCATCTCATCCGCCTGGGAAACAATTGCAGCCAGCTATCCCAGTACATTTCTAGGGTGTGGGTAACAAAAAATAAACAAAAAAAAAAAAAAAACAGAAGCAGCGGCAGCTGCTGCTTGGGGTCATTTTGCAATGCATAAATTAGAGAAACTTTAAGTGGCGGAAGAAGAACTACTGGACATGCCCAAGTAAGGCAGTCTGGAGATGACCAGGCGGCGATAAAAAGAGGCAGGCAAACAAGCGCAGCCAAAAAGCATAGCATTTTAACGCCAATGAAGCATGAAAGTCATTGACGGCCCTGTGCCCAAACACTCGGCCATAAGATCTTTTGCACAAGATTCGGAAATAAGTTGTGCAACCCAGCTCCGAAGAGGTTCTCCCACAGGTTGTCCGCGCCACATGGCGTATACTTAACATTCAGACGCATTGCGCAAGCCAGAGATCAGCCCTTCACTTGCAGCTCAGCCAAATCCAATCCGATGGGAGCTTCACCTGAGACCCAATTACCGCAGATTTGCATATGACCCAGCTAAATGCTGTAAAGATGGGAAAGACAACGACGATTCTGGGCCTGCTCGCAAGCCATCAAATCCGAACAAAAGACTGTCAAGCGGTTCACAGGCTGATCAGTTATGGTTATGAGAGTTTAATAAGACAGCGCAAACCAACGAAATAGCCAAACAGTAGTACATTACGATTATAGGGGACACTCGACATTTTCACAACAGAATTTTTGCATTAGGGATCAGAAATGGGATGGGGTCTCCAAATCTGGTCCTTGAGGATGCGTATTATCTTTAATCATCTCGGCCTGCGATCGGTAAGCCAACTGATGAATCTTGAAGCCATAGAGCCTTAGAAAAAGTAACCGAATCTTAAGCAAATCGTATCCAAACATCTGGAAGCTGAACTCACCTGGGCACAAATTTCTGCTTTGTCCGCTTGGGCCGTGCATCTGGATTCACCATAAAAAGCATATGCGGGAATCCGGTGCCAAAGAAGGCGCCATCCAGATTAGAATGTCTAGCTGCCTTAGGGATGTACACATCGTTGCACTTGGGGCAATAGATGCGGACCATCTCCTCACCGGGATTATCGCTCAGTCCGATAGGCAGCACTGACTGGCGCTGGCAAAAGGCACGGGGACAGAAACCAAAGGCTCCCTTGTGGTACTTATTCAACATTAGCTCGATGCCCCGGTTAGTTAGGATAAACCGGGCATGGATTAGGCCATACAGCTTCTCTGCGCTGGCCTCCAGTTCCGGTTCAGCAGGTGCATCCGATGCTGAGCCCGAATTAAGATCGAGGATCACCTCTAAGGCAGATCGGTAGTTGGTCACGTTCGAATCAAGAAAGTTAAGGTTGAACTTGTCATGGATATAGTCCTCATCAACCTCGCAGAAGAACTCGTTGCCACGCTGCTTGCAAAACCAATGGATCCAGGCGGTCTCATCCGAATCTGTCATAGCTGCTCGACTTTAGTTGCTATCCAGCTAGAGAACAAAAAGACAAAATAACTTAAAAACGTTAAAAATTTCGAAGGAATAATTTTTGAGCGTGAATTTTAGGACAGTGTTTGCTACATTAGTATTTGGGATGATTTTTAAGTTTATCCTCTTAACTCTATTTACTTACCAAAAAAAACCTTTTATTTAATCCCATAGGCCTTTACGTCTATTGCGCTGCTCGTGTGCCTGGCTGCCTGGACCCATGCGGAACCACCAGTGCCCCAGAACCAATACCTGCCACCCAACCAGTCGCCCCAGGCACCATCCAACAACTATCTGCCGCCCACGCAGGGCTTCCAATCGCCGTCGAACAACTACTTGCCACCCCAGCGGACTGGTGGCAATGGAGCTCCCAGCAACAGCTATGGAGCTCCCATTGCCCCACCTCAGGGTCAGTATGGTGCTCCAGCGCTGACAGGTGCCATCTTCAAGGGCGGTAACGGAAACGGCAACGGCGGCTATGGAGGCGGTAATGGCAACGGCAACGGCTACGGACAGCGGGATGAGGAGCAATACGGACCGGCCAAGTATGAGTTCAAGTACGACGTTCAGGACTACGAGTCTGGCAATGATTTCGGACACATGGAGTCCCGCGATGGTGATCTAGCCGTGGGCCGCTACTACGTCCTGCTGCCCGATGGTCGCAAACAGATTGTTGAGTACGAAGCTGACCAGAACGGATACCGCCCAACCATCCGGTACGAGCAGGTTGGCAATGGCAACGGAAACGGAAACGGCAACGGACGCAATGGCGGCGGATACGATAGCAACGCGCAGCAAGGCAAGTTCAACGGCTATTAAGAGGGGGAAGTGAGGATTCCCGATTTAGGTCGACCCCGCAGCTATACTCGTCTACTTCATGGGATCGCTGGCCGAGTATTAAACGCACATCCAGCCAGAGAGCCAGCGATCGCAGTCAGTCTATAACTATTTCTATATGCCCTTAGTGGGACGGCCGCCATTTTGCCATAGACAGGCGCGTTCCTTTTCGTTTCCGTTTCACTACCGTTCGTTCCCCGTTTCCTGTCTCTACGCCTGGAACTTCTTGCCGTTTTGTTTTGTTTAAGCGCCTTCATTTTGTGTTAGTCTACGCACACACACACCCCAACACACAACTCACACACACCATGACCATAACGCATTCATACATACATGCATAAGGATTGTATTTAGTTTTTAAACGAAAATGGAAATTCGAAAGTGAAACGAACTTATGAGATTTTTGTGTATATTTAATAATTATTAAATGAATAAAGAAGCATTTTTGTATAAAACAAAGTCAAAAAAGAAAATTTTAAATGTGTTTTTATTCCCAAGAAGAAGAAAAATAGTAGTACCAGTAATAGTAGAAGAAAATACATCACTGCAAAGTAAATAATTTTTAATCTACAGACGGCTTTGGTACTCCAAACTTCTACTTCAAGATCCTCTCCAAATGTCCCTGGTTGTTGTATCGATAAACCGGATCCTTAAGCTGTCCCACAGTTGAGTAAGTCAATTGAGCCGTAAAATCATCATTATTGTCTCCATTTTGCTGAGAGCTGAAAGTAACTCTCTGCAGTTTATTATCCTGTGAGATGACGAAGTAACGACCTTCTCTGATTTTAGGCTGCTGACTGTCTACAGAATCCTTTTGAATAACTGGCTCTTCATCGTCGGGATAGATTATTTTGAATTGAGGATCTGGTGGACCATACTGGTTGGCAGGGCGAGAGTTGGGCAGAATCTGTTCCTCGGGAATATCCAGTTGTTGCGGTGACAGATAGTTAGATTCAGGCTTATCCACTGGATTGATTTGGTCCACTCGTGCCTTTGTGATCTCTACTTCCTGACTTGAACGTACAGGAGGCACATACTGGTTGGGCAAATTAAATGGAATTCGTGGATGCCAACCAGCAGGGGCGTATGGTGCTTTACGTCTAACCTCTACTTCACATCTTACAAAGGCCAGAAATGCCATTAGAAGTACAAACTTTAAGAGAAACACTTTTAAATACTTAGGTATTTTTTTTAATTGAACTCCAATATCATACCTTTGTCACCATTATAGCCAACGTTGCGCGTAAAACTGCGGTGCAATGCTGGGGATTTGCTCATTTTTATATTGAACAATTAGACCCATTGCAATATTTGTCATGCCGGACACGCACCTTGTTCGTCTGACACCAATTGGACTGCATCTGTTCCATCTTCAGACTACATAGTCACGTATCCAACCGACAAAAATAAAAAAGAATCGACTGTACACAACCTTGACAACGGATGAGCGAATAATTGGCAAAGGCTCAAATTTGGTTTCGATGACAGAAGTTAGTTAACGGTTGTTAGTTTGTATGCTTAAAAAATGAAAGGGAAAGTAACTTGATAATCACATAATAACATTATTGAAACATTTCAAGTAAGGAGACGAGTTGTAAAATAAATTATTTACATGTAGTACTTTCTTGGAGAACTTTTAAAATAGTTTTTGGGGATACTGTATTTAATTTTACTAACTTTCTTGGTATAATACATATTTTTATTTTTCCAATTATATATTATTTAAACAATTACATTTTAATCTTAAATATACGTTATTTTTAGGGTAGCCGCATTTTAACTTTAACCTCTTCAAATACATTCACACTCTTACGTGTGGGATTTCTACAGCTCATGTCTGCGGTCCTACATTTTACAAGACACGGTCACACTGCGTGAATGGAATGTAAATGTACACTGAAGCATTAACAAATTAGTTCACTTACAAAGTTAAATCGGTAGAATGGACGGATTTATTTATTGATAATCCCTGCTCTCAGTGCTCGAAAGCTATATAAGCGTGATTGCCATGCAGAACACTGACGAATCAGCAAGATATATGTGACGAAACTCCATAAACAAATCAGCGTGCAGCTCGAGAAGAACCTGGTACTACTGAATCCCAAAGGAAAAAGACCGCAGTATTCTTTAATTATGTTGTCTTCCAGATATGCGGTAAACTAACTATTATGCGCCAGTGGCCACGGAGCCCGCCGGAAACCCTAAAACCATGTGGTCCAGCTGCCGCATCCACGTCGCGCTGCTCATCCTGGCAGTGCTGGCGTGCCCAACTAGCAGTCAACAAGTTCCTCTGGCCATAGCCAACTCAACTAGCAACCAAGTGCCTACCGATCCTGGCTTCATGCCCCTCCAGCAATCGCCAGCAAGCGTCTTCTTTGTAAACCACAACCAGCAAAATGCCATGCAGCTGCGGCACAGCATGGAGGGCAAGCTGCGAAATATTCGCAATATGGAGATGAGGGTAGCCAAGATCCAGGTACATTTTCTAAACACTGTACTTTATTAAGAACAGCTCTCATGCCTTAAATCCTTTTTAGGAAATATTCGACTCCCTACACTTTACAAGAGTCAACGCAGCCCCGCCCACTCGCCAAGTTTCGAGCAACCAAAGCAACCCGGTGAATCCCCTGCTGCAGCGAGATTTGCTATTTTTCAGCAGCCGCCTGAGCAAGAAACTGCAAAAGGCCACCCACGTAGTTCTGGAACTGCGAGAGCTCTTTCGTTACAATCTCAGCAAGGTCTGGCAATACAGCTACGACGACGAAGATGAGGAGTCAGAGAGCGAACTGGACCTGGAGATGGAGTTAGAAGATCTGCATTCCAGGAACACGGCTTCACCATCAACCGAGCAAATGCAACTCTACCTAAACAGCCAAATAGAGAACTGCCAGCCTGACTACGATACGGACTTGGAGTTCGGTTCGTCACCAGCTCAATCAATTCACTACAACAAGCAACAGATCCAAATCCTAAATTATCTCAAATCGGATGATGCTCGAGCTACTTTCTTAAATGAGAATAATGGACGTTCCTTGGCTGTTAATGGCTATATATCGGATCAACTGGTTCTACTTAGGCGCAGGCTCAGTCGAAGCGATACGGAAAACTCGAATAGCAAGCCCAGCAGCGGCAACCACTTTAAACATATCTATTTCCTATCGAATTCAGATGGAGCCTCCGCTAGCCTGCATTTTCGTCAGCTTTACGTATCGGCAATTAAGCATAAATTTGTGCTCTTCCTCATCGATGTCGGATCGGCTCTGAACACAGAGTTGTTTGATCTTACAAAAAGCTTTGGTAAATATCTGGGTTCTTTTGAGAGGCAAGAACTAATTTATTATTACTTTTAGTTCATGAAATGCTCCAACTGCTAGAGGATACGGATAAAGTTTCTCTGGTAACAGTTTCGAGTGAGGCGAACTTCATGGCCCTGGATTCCTTTCCCTCAGAAGCTGGGCACGGGATCTACAGTGCGACTCGTGCTCATAAAGAGGAAATATTCAGCTACATCAACAACTTGAGTCGGGCACAAACTCTTACGAATCACTCATTAGGGTTTGAGTACTCCTTCGAGTTACTACATCGATTGCAGCAATCGGGAATGATTAACACGGCGGAGCAACCAGTGGAATTTGTGTACGTCACACGCGGTTTACTGACAAATTTGTCTGATGCCATGGCAGTTCTGAGAGTTGTGGCCGATGGTCAACAAAAGCTCAGGGCCCCTGTGATCATAAACACATGCGCAGTCGTGCTCGATGAAAAGAGGATTATGTATGAAAAGCAATTCCTTAACGATGTAGCCTCCCAGAACTACACAAAATACGAGATCGATGTCTCCAATTGGTGGCCCATCGGAAAGACAGCATCTCAGCTGGCTGGACGCTTCTTTGTGCTCAGCAAAATGCATGCGGAGACTTCGCTACCGCAAACGAGTTCAAAGATATTTGCACAGCTCTTTCAAGAACGATATTTGAGCGATACGCTAGAAGTGCATTCCCCAGTAGTGGACGCAGACAGTGGAGGTGAGCTTTGAAGAACTAATATGTTAATATCGACTAAATATTTCCATCTTTGCAGATGTTCTTGTCTCTATCACTCACGCTGTTCCTCCCTATGGCGTTGTGGGCGTAAACTTGTACCTGTCGGATCTGCTCGAGGATCTGCTTAACTATCCCAGTGCTGTACCCAATGCTAAGCAGGGCACAGGGTATGCCTTTCTACTCGATCGCTCATCAGGAAACACACTAGCTCATCCAGCCTTCCCACGGCCGCTTATTCAACGTGAGACCTCGTATCCCGTAAACATCGTTTACCTGGAAAACGCAACGGACTTTTCCACTCTCATACGAGACCGCTTACTACACGAGGAAAACGGTAATGCCACCACGGATGTCTATGTGGGCAGACAGCGTTTCCAGCGAACGTACCACTGGCAATCCGTCCTGGGATTTTATGTGCTATGCCTGGTCAGCAATGGAGGTGATTCCCTTCGCAATATTTCCTCCTCGCAACGATATAACCTTAAGGACACAGTGCCCAACTATCAGCCAGCATTCTATGGCGAGAGCATGGACTTGCTTTACCATCGCTTGGACCTTAATCAGGGCGGCAGTGTCCCGCCAAAAACCTGTCGCTACTTCAGACAAATGGCCACCATGGGTAATTTGTAGTAATACATTTCGAAGTTCCAACATTATATTTTAAATGGATTTTCAAATTTCTGCAGATGCTCCAACTTTGTTCCTAAGCGCTGGCGCGTTCGAGTCTCCGTTCGGATTCCTTCACAACAATAGGCCTCGCACACAGCTGCGACATGTAGAGTCCATAATGGCATATCTTCGTGACTCCAGTGGCCTGTTGGCTAATATGGGCCTGCGACCCAGTATTCGACACGAGGTGAGTATTTTGTATCAGGCGATGCAGCAGTTGCGACGCCGTCACCAGGATGCAAGAGGATCATTGCGCAACCACATCATTCGTCGGTACGTGGCCAGTGTGACTGGAGTCTTACAATTGTATCCAGGTTGCTTGCTAAGCAGCAGCTACGATCCAACAAGGAGGCCTTGGTTTCGGCAGGCAATGGCGCAACCAGGCAAGATTGTAAGCACAGCCCCGTATCTTGATGCGGGAGGAGCGGGATACATTATAACCATTGCGCACACCATCTTTGAGGGCAAGGCCCATGCTCTGCACTCTGCTCAACAGGACAGACCTGTGGCAGTGGTGGCCCTGGATGTTCCATATGCCTTCTATTACCGCCTCATCATAGATGGCACTCCGATCTGTCAGCTTCCGCATATGAAGTGTCTGCTGTTCGAGCACGAGGGATATCTGCTGGCCCATCCGAGCATGCTCCAACCCGCTACACTCACGAGAAATCAACGGCGCCCACACGAACATCTCACGCACAAGGAATCCTACTTGGCGAATGACGTGCTTAATCATGGCCAGTTGGTAAGAAAACTGGGATGCGCCAGTTATCAGAACCGTACTCTGCAGCGTTACTACGCATTCAACACATCTCTCTCCACCATCCTGGGAAATGTGGTGCATGGCGAGCGAACCAAGTACGCTATTGCCTTAATCCGGGGTAGCAATCTCTTCGCCGCCGTTCTTAACTCAAGTTGCGATGGCGGTGCCTTCTGCCCATGCAGCACCATTGACCGTGAGTGCCTCAACTGCAAACGGATGGATCAAACAGACTGCGAGTGTCCATGTGAATGCCCTATGGTGGGAGACAGTACCTCGCCATCCGCTCTTGCATACTTTGCCAATTACACGCAACAATTCCCGTACTGTCCACCACCGAGTGAGCACTTCATTGCACTTCCACCGACCGCACAACTTCTTAGTGCCCTGCCCAGTTGTCCGGGATCTGCTGGTACGTGCGAAACTTACTCTACTCAGAGGGAATGCCTCGGAGTGATGGGCTGCGAATGGTGTCAGCAGGATGTAGACGGTAATAGCTTTTCAAATGCATTTTGTTCGTCGCAGGCGGGCTGCTTTAACGGTGTGCTTGCCTCCTTGACGCCTTACGGAGAACTAGATGAAATGGAACTGCTAGCTGCTCATAATCCGCAGAGGGAGCAACACGCCTACTCAGCATTTGGACCATTGGGAGGAGCCATTGTGGTTCTTGTCATGGTGATAGGGTTCGCCATCTACTGCTACAGGCACAATCTGGATGCCCAAACGCAGGAACAGTTCTATGTGGACTCGGTGCAGGAAGAAAATTATGGGCTGCCGCTGTCTAGATTCAATTTTGACGATTGCAAAGCGCACGATGAACCTCCTATAGGTGGCGGTTATGACCATGCATCTGCACAACGGCACCTCATGCATGCGGCGGATATATCGCCCTATCACGTATCCAGCGGTAGTAGCTACCGCCGACCTCCAAACGGGGAGTCCGACCATGGCTACAGCACCATGACGCCACATGAGGACAGCTCCGACCAGCAGTGTTTCACGCTTGCAGAACCTTTGCTGTTGCATGACAAGCGGCACAGCAAATCGGACACCATGTCCATATCCACCTCCATATCGAGTCCCACGAATCGCCAGCAGTCCTCCACCCAGCCCAACACGCATCCATACTTGAGCAATCAGCCGACGTCAAAGACGGAACGCTACAAGCAGGTGCAGGCCACGCCCTCCCCTTGTCGCGGACCGCCAACAGGTGTTGGAGGTGTCTACGGACAGACAACGTTGCCCCTCGAGGGGGATGAGTCCCGACCACACTACATCCTCGCTCCAGTGACGGTGCACCGGCATATGGAAACTGCCGAATCGTAGTCCACATAGTTTTGTTAAGTTTTAGAGCGTAAGATGTCCGCTTGTTTGCCAATTTAGTTGAGTAAGTTTTCAAATGGGCAGTTCAACTGCCGCCAGTCCAGAATGATGGGTCCGCATTCCAGACTTGCTAGGGGCTTAGTGAGCTCGCTATGGACTCCAGTTCTGGCCCATCTGTATCTATTAGAGCCTCTAAGTACGAGTCTAACACCAACTATTAAGTGATGACATTGTTTCTGCCATTTTTGATCGATGTATTGTATTGTATTTTACTGTAATTTATTGCAAAAAGTATTACTATATTATGTGCAGCTATATACTTCCGATAATTATAGCATTTATTTTATAAGCACCAACAACATTAATGTACTTACTTGTCTGATTGTAAGATACCATGTCGTATACCGTTTTTTGTAATAGATCCTAAGCCCACAAAGTTACTTACTACCGATTTTAGTAATACACATCTATAATAGCATTGTACGTTTCAAATAAAATGTTTAAATTTTGCAAAAACCCACAAGATCTTAACCTTGATCCAGAGCGATCCGATGAATCGATTGGCTGCCAACTTCTCGTCCTCCGATCAGCTGGCCGACCGTTAATGAATTTATTTTTACACAAATACAGTTTATAAGCAAGACAGACGCTGCTCAATGGGCAATTTCTCAGCTGGTAGTGGTGGCCAAAAAATGCCAATTTATAAATAACAATGTCTTTTCAGGGGTTGCCAGGTGGTTCTCAGGGCTAATAGAATAAAAGCTTAATATAGGAAAGTTCCATCTATTGGTTTAGCTACGTTTTTTGTGTAATTGCCTTTTACCCGATACCCAACCGTTTCGAAACCGTTAGCGACCGATTCGTAGCGTAGACAGACCTGACAACCCTGGACAGAAGCTGCTAGCTCTCACTTTTCCATTGCAGCCATTGCATTTGGTTTTCTGGTTTGGCGCACGACGAACGTTGTTTTGGGTCCCAACACTTCAGCCCAACAACAACTCTATACTTCAGCTATATTTCAGGCCTATCTGCACTTCATTTCCTTCGATCCCCCGCACTTTAAAGTGAGTCCATCTCGTTTGATTTGGCGAAAACCGTTTTGTTTTCAAATATTTTCGAAATATATACCAAGTGCTCTAATACGAACCGAGAGGAAAACATTACGCAATGCATAAAAAGTGTTTGGCGAACGCGAAAAAAACAATAGTTATGTAAAAAATAATTGCAACTGTATAGTTTTGAATTCGATAGTAGTGGATTTCAGTGAAAAGATAGTAACAAATTTCCAAGGAAAGGAAGTATGCACTGAATGATCGGAACTTTAATAAAGTATTTGCTTATTAATTTGTGCAAATAATTTGATATTTGATCAAATTTAAAGAGCTTAAAAAATACAGATACAATTTTAATCTAATAAAGTCCACATTCGAAATTATTTTTTGTGGATATTTAGTAATATAATTCCTAAAAGAGCGTAAAGCCTTGCTAAACAAATAAATCTATAGATTTCATAAGGTCACTGAAGTGCACTAAAGTTTAAGATTAATGTACATTTTTCGGACCCAATTCGGTTACATCATGACCTTAACCTTAAAGCTCTAAAACCCTCGATCTTTATTATTCTAGATACTTTTTAAGGCACCACCATGTTTAAGTCACTGTTTGATGCCGCGCAGAACTCAACGTTCAAGTCGCCATTCACCAACGTCAACTGCCAGGCAGCCACGCCTGCTTCCGCCCCCACTTCCTCCGCTGTGGTGACCCCCGCCCTCAAGGATGTCACTCCTCGCCAGCTGACTCCCCACCACAGCATCGCAGCCGCTGCTGTGGCCGAGGGTGGTAAGTATGATAAGTTATGTCCTAGTTAATATAATATGTCAGTTTAAGATCATCATCACTGTCAAAAGTTATATATATTTCTTAAATCATTAAATTGAACTAAGTCCTTTTGGTGCTATAATCTGCTTCAGATTCCTGCGAATTTGGCTCGAACCACTACTTCCTGCTGTGTGGCCTGGGAGGCATCATCTCTTGCGGCTCCACACACACCATGGTGGTACCTTTGGACTTGGTCAAGTGCCGTCTGCAGGTAGACCCAGCCAAGTACAAGAGCGTGTTCAACGGCTTCCGCATTAGTTTGGCAGAGGAAGGCGTCCGAGGATTGGCCAAGGGCTGGGCACCCACTTTCATCGGCTACTCGATGCAGGGTCTGTGCAAGTTCGGTCTGTATGAGGTCTTCAAGAAGGTATACGGCGATGCCATTGGCGAGGAGAACGCATTCCTGTACAGAACCGGACTCTACCTGGCCGCGTCGGCCTCTGCCGAGTTCTTCGCCGATATTGCTCTGGCGCCCATGGAGGCGGCCAAGGTCAAGATCCAGACCACACCTGGATTCGCCAAGACACTGCGCGAAGCTCTGCCCAAGATGACAGCACAGGAGGGCGTCGCTGCCTTCTACAAGGGATTGGTGCCACTTTGGATGCGCCAGATCCCATACACCATGATGAAGTTCGCCTGCTTTGAGAGGACGCTGGAGCTGCTGTACAAGTATGTTGTGCCCAAGCCCCGTGCCGATTGCACAAAGGGTGAGCAGCTGGTGGTTACCTTCGCCGCCGGTTACATTGCCGGCGTCTTCTGCGCCATTGTCTCGCATCCTGCTGACACAGTGGTGTCCAAGCTGAACCAGGCTAAGGGAGCATCCGCTCTGGATGTGGCCAAGCAGCTGGGTTGGGCTGGTGAGTACTGTTGTTCGAGATTTCCTTGAGGCTCCTTCATCTAAATGTAATTCAATCTTTTCAGGACTTTGGGGAGGTTTGGTGCCTAGGATCGTGATGATCGGCACATTGACCGCTGCCCAGTGGTTCATCTACGACGCTGTCAAGGTGTTCCTGCGCATGCCACGCCCACCACCACCAGAAATGCCCGAATCGCTGAAGAAGAAGTTGGGCGTGACTGGCGAGCAGTAAACCAAATATAAGCTAACTGTTTTTTAAATTTAGAGCGATCAGAATGTTAATCGAATTGAACTTGATTTGTATAGATAAACCACAAAGTAAATAAAAATCACAAAATGGAACGCTCTTTGAATAAAGGGATTAACGTTATTTGGGACAATCATCAATGAGGGATTTTGTATTATAGTAGAGTTATAATGTCACTGGATGCACTATAACTATATGGTCTTTGGCGACCTTCGACAGAGGCAAGAAATTAAGTAAATGAATTGAATAAAATGAACATTCTTGGTTTTCTATATGAATTTCAAAAAAAGTTTTTTATTTCCGTCAAAACGGAAGAACGTAAGTCATTATGAAAATAATTCACAACTAATCAAATTTAAAGAACCGCGAAAGCTTGAGTTCAAAATGCGCCATTTTACAACACTAAAATGCGATCTCTTCCCAACGCCGAACAGCTGATCGACTGTGTACAGAAGCATAACAGCCCTGTCCAATGTCAACAAATAGCAGCAAGAAGAAGCAGTCAACACGCGGTTTTATTTAACTGCAGATTTGTTAGATTTTCGTGTAGTTAAAATATATAATTATGGTTCAAAACAAACAGAAAACTGCAAAGCCACCAAAACTTTTAAAAAGTGCGGCCAAGGATGCTGCACTTTCGAAGGCAGAAAACTGGCAAAAGGTCAAAATCAAGGGCCACGTGATATCCGATGAGTGCGGTGGCTACGAGGGATTAATTGGGTTAGAGGTCCTCAAAGATTACGATGCAGCGCTGGTAAAGTCCTCACAAAAGAGGCCTAGTTCCCGGAATGCGGACAGGGAACGTAAGCTGAAGAAGAAAAAGAAGAAGGTTTTAAAGGGCGGCGATGAGGACTCGAGCGAGAGTTCCAGCGAATCGGAAAGTGAAGACGAAGTGGCCATCACAGCCAAGTCCAGTAAAAAAGCTCGCCTAGCCGAGCGTCATGCCCAAAAAATGCAGAAGCTGCGTGAGAAGCGGGAAAAGCGTAAAGAGCTTCGCAAACAAAAAAAGTCACAAGGCAAGGAAAAGGACAACAGCGACGACTCCAATGATGAGTATGAGGCAGACCGCTTTGCTTTGCTCAGACCACCACCATCGGATGATGACAAAGAAGATGCCAAAGCAGACGATTTGGGGGATCAGCCAGAATCCAGTGACGAAGAAGCCCCAGAGCTAGTTTCAATAAACACAGGTGAAGGGGAGGATGTGTCCGCCTGGAACGGCCTGGGTGTTCCAAACCCCATTCTGCGTGCTCTTGGCGAGCAGGGCTTTAAGGCTCCAACCCAAATTCAGGCCTTGACCCTCCCTGCTGCCATCCACGGAAAAAAGGATATCCTCGGAGCAGCTGAAACAGGCAGCGGAAAGACTCTGGCGTTTGGCATACCCATGCTGGCGGGAATCATGGAGCTAAAGCAAAGAAATATCCCGTCTGGCATTCGGAAGGCACCCAAGGTAAAAGGGCAGCAACCGGAGCCAGCGGCCGATGAGCACGAGTTAACACCTCCGCCAGAGGAACTGGATCACGTATCCGGAGCCAGCGATGAAGAGAGCGATGCCGAGGAGCATAACCAGCGCAAACAAACCCCCTTGTATGGTCTGGTTCTCACACCCACTCGAGAGTTGGCAGTACAGGTAAAAAATCATCTAGTAGCAGCTGCCAAGTACACGGGCATTAAAGTAGCAGCAATCTTCGGAGGATTAGCGGTAGCTAAACAAGAGCGGGTACTTCGTCAGTGCCCTGAAATCGTCGTAGCCACACCTGGTCGCCTTTGGGAGCTTTATGCCCAGGGCAACCGACATCTTGGCAAGATCGAGGATGTCAGCTTCCTGGTCATCGACGAAACGGATCGCATGGTGGAAAAGGGACATTTTGAAGAGCTGCGTAGTCTGATGAAGGTGCTCAACTCCGACGAGCAAAAGAAGCATCAGCGCCAGAATTTTGTTTACTCGGCCACATTGACATTGGTTCATGATCTTCCCGATCACATGCAAAGTACGTTATTTAGACTACAATTAATCCTTTAATTGAAATTAATTTGCATTTTACAGAACGCAATGTGGGTAAACGGCCAAAGTTTGTCAAGCAAACGGTGGATCAGAAAATTGAAAGCCTTATCGAGGAGTTGGGCATCTCACAACCAAAAATTGTGGATATAACCAGCTCTCAGCGTGAGTATTTCAAGTAAAATTTATGCTAAAAACTATCTATAAAAAGCTTCATTACAGAAACTGCCCAAACATTGACCGAGAGCCGTCTTTTGTGCCCCATCGATCATAAGGATTTCCATCTATACTATTTTATTCAGCGACATCCCGGCCGCACCATTGTCTTCTGCAATTCCATTGATTGTGTCAAACGATTGGCTACGCTTTTTGGTCTCTTGGACTGTAATCCTCTGCCTCTTCACGCCAACATGATTCAAAAGCAGCGTCTAAAGAATCTGGAACGCTTCCGAGATAGTCCCACGGGTCTGCTGATAGCCACTGATGTTGCTGCCCGAGGCCTGGATATACCGAATGTGGAGCATGTGATCCACTACCAAGTACCACGTACCAGCGAGAACTATGTCCACAGATCGGGACGCACAGCCCGAGCGAATAAGCACGGCATAACCGTCATGTTCATGGAACCTGGAGAAGTCAAAAGCTATGTGAAGCTTTACAAGACATTAGAGAGAAGTATGAGATAGTATAAAAAAAATCTGAATGAATTTACACAGAAGTATTTATTTTAGCTGAGGATCTGCCACTATTCCCCATTTCGGAGCGTTTCATGGGAGCAGTTAGGGAGCGCGTGAATCTTGCGAGAGATCTGGACAAAGAGGAACTAAAGCTTAAGCGCGTTCAGAGCGAGCGGGGCTGGATGAAGAAGCACGCTGAGGAAATGGACATGATTATCGATGGCTACAATGACGAATCGTAAGTTATTTAAATAATAATTTGTTGAAATCTATTGAGAGTTTTCTAATGCAGTGGCAGTGACCAGGATGAGGATCCTTTTGTGATAGAGCGACGGCGAAATCGCCTACGCGTGGAGACCGTAAGAGCACAGTTAAATGCTCTTCTGGCCCAGCCCATCTTCCCCAGGGGATTCAGCTTTAAGTATCCCAACAGCGAGGCAGCCCAGTTGGCCACGAGTCACACCCAAAGTGCTGTGGAGACCATGAAAGCAGCCATAGAAGACCAGAAGCAGGCCAAAAAGGATCGCAACAAACGCAAAAGGAATGCCTAGTACGAACTAAAAAATACTTTAATTAAATAAAGGATAACAAAAATTAATCTATTAATGTTTTGAGACAAAGTATCGCACTCCTCCATCAGTTAGCGAACGGGCGTGCTTTGCTAGCAACGTGGATACGGACAAAGTTGGGGTAGTAAAACATCTAAACACAAAAATTTGAAGTAATACAGTATCCTAAGATAATATTAAGTTTTCACTCACTCAATGTATGGCTCCATTTCCTCCATTGTCCATCTTTGTTTCGTCTTAAATAACGCCTTCATACGATCGTTGATGTTTGTTGGCAGTTGCTCCTCGGAGAGAGAGCGGATGCAGGGCTGAGCACCTTCCTTGTCGCAAATTCCCAGCCCCCGAAGATACTTCAACTGACAGGTCATGCCCTCTGGTAGCGCTTCCTGCCAGGTGCGCATAAACTCTTCATTGCGAAATCGCAAACCGGGCTGAAGTATGTTTTGTGCTACTATCCGGGAGACCAGCGACTCTTGGTACTCAAACTTTCCCGGACAACGTTCGCTTGGGATGGTATATATATCAAAAAGCCCGGCAACAACATCTTCAGGAGCGATGCCCTTGAGAGCGTCGATTGTTTCCTCCCGTTCCACTTCATCCAGAGCCCAGGAGTTTTCGCTGACCACTCCCAGCATCATGCTTATTATTCTGTACTCGTATTCGTATTCCATTACGCGCATTCGACCATCCAGCTCAATGGCTCTATATTGGTTTAATCCTTCCATAAACTGCGCTCGGCTGCACTGCACCGTGTCCAGGAGTTGGGAGAGAGTGAAGAGCAGTTTCTGCTCAACGCAAAACTCGTTCTCCGGCCCCGAATATCGAGTCAGTTGCAGGAGCTCGCCTAGTTTTCGAAAACGCGGTTTTATCTCGCGACACTCGAAGTACTCATGGAACACCTTGAGCACCGGTCGCTGCTCCAGGGTCCTTGGCACCTCCAGTTCGTCCTCCGTGCTGTCGTTGAGACTCCGCTCCAAGGAGGCATTTGCATTGCCTGTGCGCGGGCTCTTTAGTGGCGAGGTGCTGGTAGCGGCGGCGAACTTGAGATCCGGAACCAGAAGCAAGCTGTTTGAGATTTCGGCTCCCTTCACATCATAGGTACGCTCGTCGGTGCAAAGCACCACTTTCTCGTTCTGGCCGCCTTTAAAATGTAGCGTCTGGCCGTCACGTATCTGCTCTAGCATGTGCCCATCCAACTCCAGGAGGCGAAGATTTTCCGAATCCACGTCCGCCGAGGGAAAGTAAAGCGCCTGAGTGAGTTGTGTCAACTGGCGCTCGTCCAGTTTGGCATGTTTCACAATAGCTTTCACATCCTCCGGCGTGCGAACATATCTAATGAGGAGTGCATAGTTAGAGGTGCTTTTGGGAAGAACTCAGTGAGTGTTACTTACAACTGAGGAGAATTTTCATCCACTTCCATTGACTCCATTTTCACATGTAAACAAACCAAAACCCAATTGGTCGAGACAATGGGCGGGAAAAATGAATGTGACCTTAGCACATCGAAGCTGCCACATCGCTTGAGCTTAAGTAACAACCAAAAATATGTATGTGGGATTTTCGAGCAGCTGTTCAAAAGTAAATACCCTATGCGAAAAGTTGCAGTTTTTTTTCCAACACTATGAAAGGTCACTCTGACCGTGCAGCTGATCAGTTATTTAACGGTCAAAGCTTCCGAGAGAACGTATATTTTTTAGCTCCGTAATTTCGCTTGCACGCGTGTTGTTTTTGCCCGTTCGCCGTGCACTTGGGCGCACTTTAAAAAGCATTGACTACGGGAAAGGTCATTGCGACGAGGGAGCTCCAATCACTGGTAGTGACGTTTGTGGAAAAATCAATTCAGACCAGTGACGGACGTCGACCTGCAGTTCTGTGATAAGCAAATACCCTAAACAACATCATGCCTGTGGGAAAGTTTGACGCCTGGGATACGGCTGTCCTGATCTGTATCCTGGTAATTTCGGCCCTGATTGGCATATACTACCGCTACACGGGCGGCAAACAAAAGACCACGCAGGAGTACCTGATGGCGGACCAGAGCATGACTACCTTTCCGGTCTCCTTCAGCTTGATGGCCAGCTTCATGTCGGCCATCTCCCTAATGGGCGTCTCCAACGAGTCCTACGAGTTTGGAACGATGTTCTGTGTAATCAACATTGCCTACGTTCTCAGCACTCCTATTGCCGCGTACGTTTTCCTGCCGGTATTCTACAGGATGCGGACCACCAGCGTGTACGAGTACCTAGAGCGACGTTTTGGCCAAGCCACCCGGTTGTGCGCATCCCTAGCATTTACCGTGCAAATGGTGCTCTACATGGGCATTGCTCTCTATGCTCCGGCTCTCGCCTTGGAGGCAGTCACAAACATTCCGCGGTCAATGGCTATCGTGGTCATCGGACTCGTGTGCACCTTCTACTCAACCCTTGGCGGACTAAAGGCAGTGCTTATAACGGATGTCTTTCAGTCCTTCCTCATGTTTGCAGCCATCTATGCAGTGATTACTGTTTCGGCCATAAAAGCCGGAGGATTTGCTGCCATATGGGAGGTCGCTGTGGAGCGAGGCCGAGTTAGCTTTGATGAGTTCTCCTTGGACCCTACCGTGAGGCACACTTGGTGGTCACTCATAATTGGCGGCATGGTCACCTATCTCTCTCTGTATGGAGTAAATCAGACACAAGTCCAGCGACTGTTGAGTGTTCGCAATTTAAAAAGCGCTCAGTCGGCGCTGTGGTGGAATTTGCCTATCCTGGGAATGCTTAGCTTTAGCACCATATTCAGTGGACTGGCCATATTCTACTATTACCGCGACTGTGATCCTGTGCTTGAGGGACGCATCGAAAAGCGTGATCAAGTCATGCCACTCTTCGCACTGGACACAATGGGTGAGATTTTGAGAAATTCTAAAGTTTTTTGTTGCTGATTAAACTTGTTTTTGGGCAGGTCAATACCCTGGGTTGTGTGGCCTGTTCGTCTCCGGAATATTCTCCGCCAGTCTCTCTACGATTTCTTCGGCAGTCACATCGCTCTCAGCCGTTACGCTGGAGGATTATCTAAAACCCTTGTATAAGACGATATTTAAGCGGACATTGGTAGACTCCAAGTCCACGCTACCCACGAAAATTGTGGCTTGTATCTTTGGCCTGCTATGTATTGGTCTGGCGTTTGTGGCTGGCTCCATGGGCGGTGTCCTGCAGGCTTCGCTTACTATTTTCGGAGTTGTGGGCGGACCGCTGCTTGGCATCTTTACCCTGGGAGTTTGCACTACGCGCACCAACCAACGAGGAGTGCTATTGGGATTCCTCGTATCTCTGATAATTTCCTTCTGGATGGGTTTTGGCGGACCCAAACCAAAGCCTATTACCCTGGAGTTCAGCATGTCGGGTTGTGAAAACGCCACCTCTGTGTTAGCAAATGCCATTGAATTCAGCGCTAATACCAGTCCGGTGGTCATCGAACCGCACTACTTTTGGTTATATCGAATTTCGTACTTATGGTTAAGTGTGATCGGCTTTCTTATCGCTGTGGTCGTTGGCTACGGTAGCAGTATTGTGCTGGCGCACTTTGGAAGGGCAGAAAACACGGAAATCTACTTGGACAAGTATCAGAAGCAACTGGACTACGACCTCTTCGCACCCGCGCTGTCTCGTCGCTGGCGACGCAAAGCAGAAGAACAAATACAAACGGTTCAGGACGAAACGCTCACCAAATTAACTCAACAGTAGTTCCGACCGCTTTAGAATTAAGGTAATATATTTATGAAAAGAAAAGAATTTCCAGGAGGCGTTGGCTTAGTCTTGTTAGAGATGTCGTACCTAAACGTGCATAACTTGTGACCTTTTTGTATACCTGTGTGAACAAAAATTGCATACAGAGCGACCAAAACAGAGTCTTCCATATACATACATATAAACAACGATAATTATTAAATTATAAAATTATTAAACGTGTTGCGCATGTTCATAGGAGATTATAAAGGGCCTCGTAGGAATAGGCAAATGTTTTTACAATAATATTTAAAGGGTAGAATTCTACCTCGATACACTTTTACAAGGGACAATAACTACATTGAAGCCCAGATAGCGTGTTGGCCGATTACTTTTCCATGTTGAGCATTGACAGCCATAATGTTCTACATAAATTATTGATTTAGTTGTAACTTAATTTTATCGGTATATTTATATTCATGTCTACTTAATTTAATTAAATCTGTTTACTCAGTTATACGACTCACAGTTTCCACAATCATCTTTCATATATATAATACAGCTCGAGGTCAGGGTTTTAAATATACACTACAGTGAGCACTCCTATAAATAGTTACTGAAATGCTCTTAATGCATTACACTGCGCCACATTGTGAATTGAGTTTACTTATATACTACCTCTAGATGTACACAAATATACTATAGAAATAAATATATACGTGCGTCGCGTCGCAATCAACTTTTGAACAATAATAACTCTAAGCAGTGAAAGTTATTTGTATTTGTAAAAACAAGCTGCTGACCATTAAAGAAAACTGTTCTACAAAATGTGATTGAAATAACAGATGTTTTCGTTATAAACTCATGAGGCGTAAAGCTGAAGCTTGGATTTTAATTATTACTGTGAGGGACTCATATGTTTCCTCGAAATCACGATGAGCTGAGAACTTCCTCCGATAAGCAAATTCGTTTGCTATCAGCTGCCAAGGTTATGTGAGGCTCTCCCAACATTGCGTACTCAATGAGGAATCTATTTTGGAACAAATGCTATAACTTTGTAGCGCTTACCTTTTCCAATTGACTATTGCGCCATGCGGGAACAAAGTCTAATTGAGGGTCGGAGACAGTAAATTGCTTAAAATTGGAAAAGGCATGGGTCACCATGTGAATGGGTTTGCTATAAACAAATGCCAATTGAAATGTGTGGAAACATCGTTAATATAACTTGTCCACGTTTGTCTTGTTTGTGGAAAGTTTTCTGATCGAGAGTTCAAAGTACCAGTAGACTCGCATGACACACATTTTTGGCTAATGTTCTGGCGAAAGAAGAAACCAAAGCAACGCAAATAATCGTAAGACTTCAACCGACTTTTGTTTACTCTTAGTTTTATAATAATATGGTTTATTTTTAGTAATGTATTCACAGAAAAGAGCTTTTAACATATTTGTTTGTAGGTAAAGTTAAAAAATACATACATACATACATCAAATTTAACACATCAGAGTATAAATTTGCCAAAAATGCCGGTTGATGACTCGGCGAAATCGCTTGATTTATCTACTCTAATTTCACAACGCCAACTGATGAATTAAGCGATTTGTTAGCATTTTTGTTTGCTGAAGCTTTCACAGATATGTAGCTATTCAAAGTTACCACTGATTCGATAAGGGGTTCCGCCACTCGCCAGGTTGATACACCGAATGATTCATAAAGGGTTTTACTATTGATTAAGCTTCCTGACAAATTCCATGAACACATCATGGAAAGTTGTATAGCTGACGGAGTAGTACAATATGTTCATTTCAAGTTTCAAGTTTTCCATGTAGTTAAAGATTGCGGACCACTTGACCATTCCGTTTGGTATGCAGAAGGTAATCATTCCTCGATACGAGAACTTATTGCTGAAGTAATAAGAAATCAAATTGGAAATATGTTATTTAATTATGGCAAATGCTACACAAAACTTAGGCTTTTCTAAGATAGTTTTCTAGTAGTTTACATATACAAAGTTTATAACAGTGCGAGTCCCATTCGAGATTATATGCCTTGTGCGGAAGTATAAGCGAATCCCTGGAACTATTTACGTACATATGTACATATATATGTGAAGATTATTGTTTATCTGTTTACGTATTCTTGCAAACAAACCATAGTTCATTGCCATAGTAAAATAGATATTGTAAGGCCTCATCTTTATGGCAAGTAATTATTTACATACATATGCATGTAGATACCTGTATACAGGTAAATAGGAGGTAACAAAGTTAGTTCAAATCAAAAACCTTACTTACACTTTTAATATACATACTTAAATGTATTTAAACCCCAAAATAATGAACCAAAAAACCAAAACCAAAAAAAATGTCAACTTAAGACGTAACATACCTGACAGTGCAATAGGGATGATCCCTCATGAAAATATCCTCAAGTCCTTGTAACAAAATATCGTATTCTTTTCGAATATCTGAATTAAATTTTGTGCCATCTCCATCCGACTTTCTAAATAAATCCACTGTATTCCTATGTCTCACATAATGCCTAAATGGCCTCCGACTAGAACCACTAATACTCTCCATTTCACTATCGCTTATGTCCATCATGGTGATCCGCTGTCGATCTTCCATTGCATCGTTCATTTCCGCTTCGGTGCCCATCTTTACTTTGACAAAAATGCCCATGTTGAAGCGATACTTGAGCCGCGCCAAAGATCCATAGCAGAGCAATGAACCTTGTTCCATGATACCCACATTTGTGCATAGGGACTCGCACTCCTCCAAGCTGTGCGTGGTTATAAGAATGGCACGACCGGCCTGCCGGATATCCTCCAGAATCTTCCAAATGTCGTATTTTGAATGCATGTCCACGCCAGCAGTAGGCTCATCAAGGCAAATTAGTGTTGGCGCCAGAGTGGCAATGGCAATCATTAGCTTTCGCTTGGTGCCATTGCTGTAGGTGCTGATACGCTTATCCATGTGGTGGACGAGTCCAAAGCACTCGGCCAGTGACCTTACCAATTTTTTCACGTAAATTCGCCGGATACCGTTAATTAAACAGCTGAAGCGTAGCGTCTCCCTGCCAGTCATGTGCAGCAAGAGCATATCTTCCCGCATACAGAAGCCCACGTGCTGTAGTGCGTCCTTTGAACGCATCTTCATGGAATAGCCCTTGATGTAAATGCTTCCTACCGTTATCGACTGCATGCCCACGATCATCTGGAATGCGGTCGACTTTCCTGCTCCATTTCTGCCCAACAGACCAACGCACTCAAAGCTGGAATGAAAATTTGGCTAACAAAGCCCCGGGTTATATATTCAAGAATATTTGTACTCACGGGTGTATGGCCAATGTTAAAGCTCGTACTGCCAACAAACTGCCGTGGCGTTTCGACACGTTCTTCATGATGAGAGGGAAACTATAATAATCTTTGGAGGACAAGTAGGACAGCCCCTGCCGGATTTCTTTTACTTCTATATCCTCATTTATATGGTTTGGCTCTATTTTGTCGTTCTTTATGGATCTGAAAAATATAGTTAACAGTCAGTTAGTGCGACATACAAGACTTTCGATCTCAACATAACTTGAAGACATAGTTTATGCGACGCGGAACCCACGTCAAAAGGACCAGGCTGAGGTATACCGCTCCGCTCATAGTCAGATACTCCAGTTGCTTCCAGCCATATAAATGGCCTGTGTTAACCAAACAAATAATCTAATCAAGAAGGAGCTCAATATAAAGGAAATAGGGACGAACTCACCGCAGTGAAAGCAGTGATTATTATGAAGATAGGTATGTAGGACTTTATCATTAGCTAAGATATCATGCATGCCACAAAAAAACGAATAATGCGGATGAATCAAGAGGACTGTCTCAATTATAGCATAGCGGGTTTCCTCGGCCTTGGGATGGATGAACAATGCCAGGGCGCCTGAAAATTAAATCTCGTTATAAAACCTTTTACGGTACTATTTCGCTGCGGTTACCTATCATATTTATGTACAAAATTACGCTTAATATCTTGCCAAAATCATTTGATATCAGACACACCAGGTAGGTGAACGAAATGACCGAGAACCCGAAAGCGAACAGTAGGAGTGATATAGACATTACCGATTCCGTAATGATTCCGGAAACCACGATCAGCGACACAACCATGCAGATGAAGATGCAATAGTCCCAGGACAGGTGTGACAGCCAGTAGGTGACCCGGCTCATGCCGCTGGCAAATTGCTGGTACTGCGCGTTGGTTTGGCGCTCGAAGATCGGCATTACGGCAAAAGTGGCGGTCGCCAAGATAAGGTAATGGAACACGAGTATATCGAACTCTACGACACTGATCTGGTTGAGAACTGGTTGTGCCATGTTGATTTTATCCTGCCACGGATGATTCACAATCCGAATATCCATTTGGGCCAACTCCTGTCCAATGGTCGCATACACCATGCCCAGAGAAAGCGGCGATCCGCGCTCGAGATTGTTATTCGACCAGGCGATGATCAAACTGTCGTCGCTTTTGAAAGTGACACCGGCCAAATACGTCTCATGAACCATCCTCTGATCCAACTCCATCTTCTTCAGGAGATAATCGTCGAGAGGAGTTCCTTTTATACTGAGAACGGACGCCCCTTGACGTAGGACATTCTGTCTGTAGCGTTGGAAATACCTATCTTCCTCATCGGTGGATTCAATTACAAACACCGGCGAGGAATATACGCTCAGATCCGTGACCACCAATTCTTTCGGATGACGGTGGACGGTAAACATAATGGCCGCAAAGGAGAATACCAACATAGAAATGATGATCGGCATTATGAGCAGGGAGCAGTAGAACTTTCGGTAACGCCACGCGAAGATGCGCTTCTTCTCCATAATTCCCCGCCATTGATTGCAGCACTTTACGCGACCATCATCTTCGCGGACTTCAAAGGAGGGCAGTAAATCTGGAGATCATGAGTTGTATAAATTCCTTGTTTATTAAAAAAAATAGATAATACTGCTTACCAAGCAGAGATGCCATGGGCAACGGGGGTGCTAGCAAGGTATTTGATTCACTCCGCCTACGGATCTCTCTCATCTCCTGTCCTATGCGCAGGAACACACTGCCCAGCGTGGGCGCATACACACTGAACTCCTGGATCATCAGATCTCTCAGAGAAGCCTCCAGATCCAAAAACAAGTTCGGAAACTGATTTACATATTTGGTGGGCAGTTCGTAAATTACGTAAATAGCGTATTCGGTCTGCAATCTTATGCCCGGAAGGCGATTTTGCAGAAAGTCCGTCACCTCACTCACTAAGCAGCCATCAAGCTTGGTGCAGATCAGCAGATACGTCGAGCCAGTGTCGGCCACCTGAGTGAGGAAGCCCGTGGTTCCGTATCCAATCACCTCGCCATCACAGAGGACCACAATCTGATCCGACACCACCTCGGCCTCGTACATGTTGTGGGTGGACATGATTATGCATCGTCCATTCCGTTCCCGGCGCAGTAGGTCCCACATATCACTCCGCAGTTGAGGATCCAGACTGGTGCCAGGCTCGTCCAAGAGGAGAATCTGAAATTGCGAAAAGTTAGACCACTGGCCAGGAAGCTGAGGGTCAAACCTTCGAATTGCCACAGAGGTTGCAACACAGCATAAGCATTCGCTTTAGGCCGTTGGGCAGGTCTTTCACTTTGATATCGGCATATTCCTGCAATTGGGCGATCTCCAGATACTTGTCCGCCTCGGCAGAAGCCTCCTTTCGGTTCATTCCCTTCATCCGGCAATAGAACTTCAAGTGCCATCTGGCCTTGACCTTCTCAAACAGTGCATTTCTCTGCGGGCAAATGCACATCCCCTGAGTCGCCTTCCTCTGCTTTGTAGCCAGGTCATATCCGTTGATAATAATCTCTCCCGAGCTGGGTCTCACGAAACCGGCGAGGAGCTTAAAGAACGTGGTTTTTCCCGAATCATTGTGCCCGAGGATCACTGTGATTTCGTTCTCATAAAAATTCAGACTAATATCACTGATCGCAGAGCGTTCGTTGTAGACTTTGTCTAGGTTTCTGACTTGGATAATCAATGGATTGCCCTTAACCTCGTTCTCCTGCCTCTCAATATCCGGAAAGTCAGATCGCTGCCGTCCCTTTCGAGGGAACCAAAAGGAGGGTTGAAACAGAAAATACCACTTTTTGTGCCGATAAATCTTTAGGTGATCCACGTAAGCAAGGATAAGCAGGCGCCATAGGATGCCAAGCAACATGAGAATCAGAATGGGGCCCAAGGCTTTGAAATCATCATAATCGGTCCCCTCAAAGAGATTGCTCCAATGTTGTCCCATCTGGAGGTTCTCGCTTATCATGAACGCTCGCAGACCCATAGCCAACGAGCTATTTATGAATAAACAGGCGAACACGGCCCTTACTAAAGAGGATTTATAGGTCATAAGCAGAAGTATATACGGTAGGCAGCCAAGCAGGTGGATTATTAGAATGGCCACCTGCACCCCGATAGTATCCGAGAAAAATGTTGATATCATAAAAGCCGAGCACAAGACCTCCAATTTGTATAGCAGAAGAAAGAACAAGACCAGAAAAAAATCGCTCAGCGGATAGTAACGCCATTTCAGCAGGATAACCATAAATATAGTTGGAATTGACAGGAGGAGGAAGCCTACCAGAAACCAGGACAGCCAGTATATCCATGGCCTAGCGCCCAAGAGCTGAAGCATGTCCCTTATATGCTCCCGTCTTTCCGTCACAATCATCTGAAACAACAAATAAGCTACTGTACTCATATCAAGCTAAATAAGCATACTTGGGCAAGATATGCAGCGGATATGGTGAAGGGCAGGAAGAACACACCGCTCAGTGATACCCTGTTATCCGTAAACGTGTCTTCCAAGTACTTAGGTTCGGGATATTGCTGCAAAACTACTCCTGGTAAGATCGCTCCATCATTTTTGGATCTGATTAACGCTTCGCTCAGCTTGGCCTGCACAGCTAGGAAACCCTCGACCTTATAGAAATCGGTGTCCAGCTTTAAGTTCTTGTATATCATCCTACTATCCCAAAACAGCTTGGGATTGCTGCGCAAGTGAAATGGAAATCGCAACGCCACAGAGACATTGTCTGGAAGGACGATAATGTCGCTATAGCTGTCGTCAAACTGTATGCCCACATAGCCGTATTCATCAACATTTTTGAGTGCACGATCCAGTTCAAGGGCGTTTTTGAAAGCCGTAGTACCTTTAACCTTCAGATCGGTGAACAAATCTTCGATGATACTCGTCACCACCGGATTCTTTGGTGAGTAGAAAATGTACCTGATTTTTGGGTATGTCAAGCAGGCCTGGATTATTGTGGCAGTCTGAAGTTGGCTTATACATACGGCATTTCGGCTGTAATATTGACGGGGCCGTACTTTTTTGCGAATTCAGCCTGCGGCTCATGAAAAAGTGCCGAAGCAGCATAGATGAGAAAAACAAGCAATGGACCCACAATGATAATCACGCTGGTGAGCTTATTGGCCAGCTGAAACCGAGCCGTCTTGCAAATAACCAACCACAGCAGACAGATATTGCTCTGGGGTTTCACTAGCGATGGACTACTGGACATATTTTAACAATTTTGATCACGACAGAACGTAGACACATTAGAAATATAACAAACTTCACTTATACTCCGCACTAAAACGTTCCGGCTTCCGTGTTTTCTTTTATTTTGTGGTTCATGTGAAACTAAAAGTAGATTCGGATATCCGGCAGGGAACGTAACAGCTTACTTCTTCTTGGACACACCCACGGTGCGACCACGGCGACCGGTAGTCTTGGTGTGCTGGCCACGGACACGGAGGCCCCAGTAGTGACGCAGACCACGGTGGGAGCGGATCTTCTTCAGACGCTCCAAATCGTCACGCAGCTTGGAATCCAAGTTGGAGGAGGTCAGCTGCCAGTACTTGCCATCAATGATGTCCTTCTGCCTGTTAAGGAACCAGTTGGGCACCTTGTACTGCAGGGGGTTCGAGATGATGGTGACCACCTTTTCGACCTAAGAATGGGTAGGAAGCGCCTTTAATGGGTGTGCCCAGGGTGGGTCAAGATGGAATAGCTTACCTCCTCCTCGGTGCATTCACCGGCGCGCTTGGTTAGATCGACATCGGCCTTCTTCAGCACAATGTTAGAGTAGCGACGACCAACTCCCTTGATGGCGGTCATGGCAATTCCAACCTTGCGCTTGCCATCGATGTTCGTATTCATAATACGCAGGATGTGCTGGAACTTCTCTGGGATGACGAGCGACTAGAATACAAGACAAATAATTATTAAACAGTATTCTACACCTCGCCATTTCGGCATTTTTGCAACAGAAGGCACTGACAAATGATGTCTGCCAAATCAACGCCTTTCATGTTTAAGACCTCGGCTCCCACTTCTTCGCTGAGCACTCACCATTTTGCCGTATGTATTCTCGTATTTACTCCTCACTGCAATAAATTAAACGATATTTTGGTTAAAATTAAAATTAAATTGAACGCGCAGCACACCACTCACCGGAAACGGGAAAAGAAAAGAAGGCCGATTTAATGTGGCTATCTCAGGCGCAAAGAATGCACTAAAAATGTTTGCCACGTTCTGTTGACGTGCTGTTAATCACTCAATGCGTGCTGTTAAGCGCACTCGATCTCATTACCGATTTGTATTTAGAAACCGCCAAAAGTTTAAAATTGTCTAATTATATACTTAGTGTTTTGATAAAAAAAAAGGACAGCTACGTTTATTTAAAAATAATAAAGAATAAAAATGGCTGCTTTACTTTAAACTACTATATTGCATCCCTGGTTCTATCAGAGCACCGTTATATTAAAGCCCTGCAGAATGGGGGAAATAAATGGTAAATTAAATAATGGTAAAATTAAATTTGTATACATTATTTTTTGAAGCCCTCAGTTGCGTAGGACAAGATGATATAGTATCTTTGCGAATCATCTGCACAATGGCTCGTGATAAGAAACAGTACAACATCGAGGAAGTGGACATGTATGGAAACACTGCTCTCTTGAAGGCCTGCTATTTGGGGCGATATGATTGCGCTTGCACACTCCTGGAGTTTGGAGCAAATATCTTTGCCATTAACTATTTTGGTCAAAATGCTTTGACCCTGGCGAGCTATGTTGGCCATTTGCCCATGGTTAAGGAGCTATTAAAACGGAGAACTTACAAGGACTTCAATTTGTCCTCAATGATCCCGGCTCTTTGCGTGGCAATTATGCAAAAACATTCTGCCCTGGAGGCATTTTTTATTCAACTAGATCCAAAGGGAGCTAAAGATATACACACAGTACATGGTAATTCGGCAAAACATAGAATTCATAAAAAACTTTCTTTTTAATTAATTATTTTAATTTAATTATTTCAGGGTTGGGAATTGAGGACCTGCGAAAAATGATGCGGCAAGCAGAGAATTCGAGCAAACACAAATCATCCTCTTCTCACAATTTTTTGTTTAATGGCCGTCGTTAAATCAATGTATTTTTGTAATTTCAAATTGTATAATTAAGCATTTTAAAATATATATTTCCTTCATAAGTGTGACCATTCCCTTTCTTTATCCATTAGGTGGACAGTCCAACATTTTTTAATATCGATAGCTGCGGCACACTAGCAATCGATATCTTCTGTGGCTTTTTACATCCCTATCCCGCCATTTAGCCCGCCTGATTCCGATCCATAGGTAGAAATTTGCACACGTTCGTCATTCATCATATAGTTACAGCCGCGGCAGCACTATCAACTGCTTATTTTAACAGCTAAAATTGCATTTCCCCTTAAACGTTAAAACACATCCATCATGTTCGAAGCACGTCTTGGTCAAGCCACCATTCTGAAGAAGATCCTGGACGCTATCAAGGATCTGCTCAATGAAGCCACATTCGATTGCAGTGACTCTGGAATTCAGGTATAAACTACATTAGATGTTTAACGTGAAGAATTCTTACACTTATCAAACTCACAGCTGCAGGCCATGGACAACTCTCATGTGTCTCTCGTCTCTCTGACCCTGCGATCAGATGGCTTCGACAAGTTCCGTTGTGACCGCAACCTCTCCATGGGCATGAACTTAGGCAGCATGGCGAAGATACTCAAGTGCGCCAACAACGAGGACAACGTGACGATGAAAGCGCAGGACAACGCCGACACTGTCACCATCATGTTCGAGTCGGCCAACCAGGAGAAGGTCTCTGACTACGAGATGAAGCTGATGAACCTTGACCAAGAGCACCTGGGCATCCCAGAGACGGACTTCTCGTGTGTGGTCCGTATGCCGGCCATGGAGTTCGCTCGTATCTGCCGCGATTTGGCGCAGTTCAGTGAATCCGTCGTCATCTGCTGTACCAAGGAGGGTGTCAAGTTCTCGGCCAGTGGTGATGTGGGCACCGCTAACATTAAGCTGGCTCAAACCGGCTCTGTCGACAAGGAGGAGGAAGCTGTTATCATCGAGATGCAAGAGCCTGTAACGCTGACGTTCGCCTGTCGCTACCTGAACGCCTTCACAAAGGCGACGCCATTGTCTACCCAGGTGCAGCTGTCGATGTGCGCAGATGTGCCGCTGGTGGTCGAGTATGCGATCAAGGATCTTGGCCACATTCGCTACTACCTGGCACCCAAGATCGAAGACAACGAGACATAAATCGGCTGTCTTCCTTATATTTATATCGTAACTTCTCATCCTCCCACGTACAATTCATTCCTAAGTTTTAAGTTAAATCCGCATTTTTGATCAATAAAAGCTATATTGTATAATGTTAACTCGTTGAAATTGTACAATTCATTTTAAGGGTAATAACCATTTATTCGCATTTTATGTATAACACTGGGTATAGTTGAAGGAGAGAGATTGCAAACATATATTAAGAGTAATAGTATATCAAACACCTGGTGTACCAAAGATATACATTCAGACGGTTTCACGTGGGATAGGCAAAGAAAACTAGGCATATCTTCCACATAGTATAAGTTTAACTTTGTTAGCCTCGATAGCACCAAAAAATCTGGATAGACTATTGGGGAGTTAGAAAATAAGGGTAATGAGCGAATATTCTATACACATGTATATAATAAGTACTCGTTTCGTATCAGGCACATATTCGGGAGTTTTGCATTAAACAGCTCTTAGCGAGTGTGTGCCTGGAATCAAGAGCATTAATCGTAAATATATATAATAAATAGTGCGTGCTTACACGCTTCCAATACTTGCATACTTGGCTTGCTTATGCTAAAAGCTATATATCCTATACATATTTTGTGAGTATATAAAACATAGAAAGCTGTGTCATATAAAAGTGTATAAAAAACGTTTGAGATTACACATAATAAATAAGCAAGAAGAGTGCGTATAACAATGAACAATTCAGTTTGTTCCTGCGCATAACAAAATTCGGTTTATACGCCTATGTGAAAGGAGAAGTCCAAAGGGGATAAATGCATGTGACAATATATTACAGTGATGCTAAAACCCCATTGTCACTCACAATTTACCATCGGTGATTATTGTTCCTCGTCGGTTGGTTGGTTCTCCAGTCCTATAGGTATATAGACCGATTGAAATTCATCCTATGAAGCTGCCAAACTTGCACTGGGACTGGAGGACTCCTCATCGTCCAGCGAGCTGCCTTTGTCATTGGTTTTGAGCTTCGGATTTACTTGAAGCAACGTCTGTAGAGATCTTATGCACTTTTTGGACCCTTCCATAGCTTCGTTGGATAACTGAATTAAAGAAACTCGCATTAGTATTTAAGTTGGTTTCTGTTGCCGAAGGATTTAATACCATTGTGAAATTGAGGAATCCGTGGGGAAGGCCTTCTAGTATTTCCAAGTTTACTTGTCGACCAAGGCGCTTGAGTTTCTTGGCAAACATTACGCAGTCATCTAGACAGGGATCCATATTCAGGGTCTGTAGAGGGAAAAGTACAATTTTAAATTACATTAAATTAATTTCGCTTAATAAACTTACAAGTATTTTTGTCTCCGGGAGCTGGGAAAGCCATTCATCACTGGCCCAGTACGGCGACAAAAATGGATCCTTAGGCACATCGAATGCAAACTCCTCGCTGGGACTCCGTGCTATCAGTGCGTCCATGTTGCGGACGTCTTGTGTTTCCATTACATTGCTTCCATGGATCTCATAGGATTGTGTGCAACGGGTTAGGGTGGTGGTTATATTATTAACGGCTTCCTGTAGTCGACCCTGCAGCGTATCCATCGCGACGAGATCTCGACCTGTTTCCACCAGAATATCTTCATCCGAACTCACTTTAGCATGTCCATTCGCCTGCATTTGGTCCGCCTCAGCAGCCGTCTCTTCGGTTACCTCCATTGTAGCGGTGTCAATCAGATACTTGTCCAGAAAGTTGTCAATATAGGCTGCAGAAGCGGCGTCCTTCGGTGGATCGGCTGATATTTCAATCGGGTAGTGAACAATAGGCTGTGAATCGTCCTCGAACGAGACACACGAGCTGTTGTCGCCCTCGCTGTTAGGGAGATCTGTTCGCTCCACGGTCTGGCTATGATAAGAGGCCGAGGCACTGGCAAAGGTGTCGCTGCTCTCGTCATCGTGTTCTGTATTGGCTTCCAGCGGCGTGAGCGGACTTCTGGCAATTGATGTTCGGCGACTGGAGTTGTAGCTTCCCATGTTTGACTTAGGGACATTGCGTATTTGGGCGGCATCCTCCACATGTTTAGCATTTTCTTGAAGCGTCTCCTGAGCAGGTGCTGCATAGGCACGAAGGCAACGCATCATAAAGCCGAAAGGCAGTAGGGGATCCATTAGGCAGAGAAGACGGGCAGGACTGGGCACAAAGCTTACGAGAGTCGGGCAATAGGCCAGAAACAGACCGTCTGGAATTCGAACTCCCTGCTCGATGCATTTTAGGGCCACACCAATTGACAGATTCGCCCCTGCCGAGTCTCCAGCGCACACAATTCGCTCAGCCGTCGTACCTAGGAGTTCGGTATTATTTAAAAGCCAACAGTAAGCGTAGTAAACCTCCTGCAAGGCGCGTGGAAATGGAGCCTCTGGGGCCAGACTGTAATCCACGGATAGAATGGGGCAGTCCAGGGCCACGGCCCAGTCCCGCAAATACAGTTCGTGGGACTTGGATGACTGGGCTACAAAGCCACCGCCGTGGCAGTGAAACAGAATAGAAGGACTCGGCGGTGTGGGCTTGTGCCAGCCGCGATATCGTCCCTCACCTAGCATTCCGGATCGTCTTTTGGCGCTCAGCAGGCGTACAGAAACCGGTAGACCAGGTCCCAGATGAGCCGTAGGCACAGGAATCTCCACAAAGTCGTCGTCGCCTTGGTTCTGATTGACATCGCTGCGGGGGTTCTCCGATGCCTTGAAGTCCTTTCGGCGGGGCAACTTTAGCGGTTCAGCTGGCAGTTCGATCAGTCGATTCACCTTTATAGAGCTGCCTACAATGCTGGGCAGCTTGTGCATCATTTCGGATTCGGCAAGAAACCAAAAAGACTTGCAAAAGTCGATCTTAGCATTCTGCGAGATGTTGACGATTCGGCGGGCCCGGAGTTCCGGATTCATTAAGTACTTTCCGCTGGTCCACAAACTGCGAGTGGTTTTTAGAATGGTACCGTCGCCTTCCTGGGAATAGTAAGATTCCGAATAGCTGGCCATGCTGATGCCCAGGAAGCGAAGTACGCCGCGTATCGAGTCGCCGTACTGAAAGCCCAGACAGCGCCCGTAAAAGCAATACTGGTTAATGGTGTCGCCGAGTTCGAAGAGCTGCTCTGCGGTATGGTTTCCGCAGGCAAACAAATCGCCAGTGCTAGCCGACCACTGGCGCAGGATGAGCAGGTACTGCAGGCAGGTGCACAGCGAGGATAACAGCTGGGAGCAGGCCTCCACCTCTTTCATGTAAAACTTCTTACGGAAGAACATGGTGGAACGGGTGGCCATTAGCTGCTGGCAAATGCCGATGCCATGAGTAATGCAGGCGTTGGTCACGTATATAAAGCTGCGATATCCATTGCCCGGCGTTTGCTCATCGAAGTCGTACTCGTGGGCGAAGGTCTCAATTTGCAGGACCAGCCTGTTTGCAAGGACGATGAAGTCCTGCCAGGCAACGTGTGCTGCATGGAGACGCTGGCCGAACTCAGTGTGGTCCCTGGCGAAGAAAATGGCGTGATCCTGACAGGTGGCGAACAGTGTTCCATAGGCGGCCTGAAGGTCGGCGGGTACGTTGTGGGTGTCCTTTCCATTGACCGGGTGTGGGTTGTCGTCCTCCTGGCCCAGTTTCAGATTGTCGTTGAGGAGGGCAATAAACTTGGGGCTTCCCCGCTCGGCGGAAACCGCGTCAATCATTGTGCGCTGCCAAGAAAATCAAGTTGGTAACCATTTATTAGCTACAATTGCACACAAACAATGATTATCTGGCGCATCTGGCAGGCGATAACCATGTCCAACTAATGCATTGTTTTTCCGGATTAGAGTGACTAACTTTGATGGTTTGAAGGTCGTCTTTACAGTAGAGCTTAAACCAGTTTACTAGTGTCCACGAACTAACTTTATGAAAATAATAAATCAAAGTAAACGTGCAAGTTTGTCTTTTTTCTTACTACACCAAGTACTGTATTCAAAAATATTAATTACAGCATTAACCGAAGAAAAGTCATATAAAACTTTCACTTCTCAACTACGCACTAAACAATTAGTCGGAAGTTAGTACTGTTCAGTATGACGTGTATCTGCAATATATTTTTCAAATTATAAATTTTCTTACAAATTAAATGGTCCTGAACTTCAGCTTAATACATTTTTAATTGGCCCAACTATTGCGGCATCTAACATAACTATTGTTATAAGACTTCGCGACAGATTTAACCGAATAATGGTCAGTGTGGCCGAGTTCAACAAATATACGCTTTATTTTTTATGATAGGGTGTTCCAAAAATCACAAAGATTCTTAAAAGTTTATTTATTTCAGAATATTATCTAAGAAAGATTATAAATGTTTCTAAACTTCTGTGAAAAATGTGCATTTTGTTCAGTGTTTCAATAGAATCAGCATAAAAATACGCATCAGGAATACCCTCGTTATTTATTTGATAGTGTATTTAGACCGGCCTGCATTGGTCACACTGCATGTGTTGACAAAATTTCGCAACAGAGCGGCTCTTAGCTTAATTGATTGGCATTAAATTTACTATGTTTGCGCTGTGATTGAAGTCCGAAGAGTAAAAAAATGAGTACCAGCATTGTTCATTACTACGGCGCCCAGCAGAGCAAGTGCGGCTACTGCGGGGGAACGAAGTGCAGCATGTCACACGGTAAGAAAAACAGAGGTGTAGAACTCTCAGAACCAAGTGCAATGTATCCATTAACACGCATTCGTCATGTATGACAGGTATGCACGCATATCTGTTGGCATGCCAGGACTACCAAGATCTCATTGATCGCGGCTGGAGGCGATGCGGCGACTACTGCTATAAAATGCGCAACAAGGAGACCTGCTGCACTGCCTATACGATTAAAAGCAATGCATTGAAGTTCAAGTTGTCCAAGTCACAGAAGCGCGTTCTGCGACGAGTGAATCGATTTTTACGAGACGGAAAGCGGGAATTTAAATTGGACGCGGGAGAAGGAGATGGGGAAGACGATGCGTGTGACGCCTCAGGCGCTCCTGAGGTCACTGTCAGCGAGCCGCAACCCCAGCTGCCTGACAAACGTCCAGCTGTTATCAATGTGGATCAGATTGCGTCATTGGCGCGGGCTCAGAAAAAGCCGACCAAACTTGTGGCTGCTCCAACGTCAGAGGCTCCTTCGGTTGAGGCTCCAACGCTGGGATCCAACAAATGTACGTACACCCGCTTATCTCATCAATTCATATGTGTCATTATCAATTTGATTGTTCAAAGCTATTTGATTTGATGTATGTAATTTCAAAATTAATTTGGTGAAAACTTGTCATACCCTTTTTTTCCTAATATGATTCTGTTTGTACATTGTTAGTCATAAAATGTGTTCAGTTTTATTCGATTGCTTATATTTTGTTTACTTATTTAAATGAGTCAACTCATACACTAAAAAGGGTATGCAAAAACATTACCATTGCGTTTATTCATTTATTCACTAGCTGCAGCACCGATCTCAAACAAACCATGCAAGAAAGCCAAGCAAATGCGGTTGGAGCGCCGACAAGCCAAGCTGGGTGACACTGCATCGACAACGACGAAATCCCTTTCCCAGGAAAAGAGCCTGCGCGATTTCCTGACGTCCGATAGCGAGACTAACAAGCATCAGCTAAAGGTAAGTGCGTGGTAGATATATAAAGAAATTCCATGTTATTATTAGACCGTGTGCAAAGCTTACCTAGATAGCGTGTTTCTATGCTCATAGAGTTTATATGTGCATTATGTGTTTTCTGTGTCCCATCCCCGAATACGAGTCTCCCTCTATATGTAGACAAACTGTCTTTGTGCTGTTTGTGTTCTTGCAGATCGTATTGGTCGCTTCCTCAGACACACAGCGCACTTGTGCCGATGCAGTGGTCGCGTTGTATCGCAAGTACCAAGTAACCATTCACAATGATAACCCCGCATGCATCACCCTATCTAGTATGCAGCGGTTTTTGGTCAAAACACCTCTTAAGGTAATTATAAATGAAATTTACTTTACCGAATATGTATTCGCAGCTACGTTTGGTTGACGTTAATGGCGAGGAATTCAAGCGGACGGTTTCCGCAAGCTTCGCGCTTTACAAGAAATATCAGATATCGATACACAACGATCCGCCCAAGGATCAAGAGGCCTACGAGGATCATCTGAAGCAAACGCCCATAAAGGTTTTCCCCGACTTCTACTGTTTTTTTTTAATCCGAAAAGATTTTCAGTGTTGATATCGCCTTGACGTCTTCCCTTGCAGAATGAAAAATCCTTAGGAGCCCCCGAAATGGGCTATGGTTCGTTTCATCAGCAGTACTGGCTGGACGATAAGCTGATTGCTGTGGGCGTTATTGACATCCTGCCCAGTTGTGTTAGCTCTGTTTATTTTTTCTACGATCCTGACTACAGCTTTCTATCGCTGGGCACATATGGTTCACTTAGGTAACAAACAATTCCGAAGAAATGAATCGTAACTACAGCTTATCCTTAAATCCTTTCAGGGAAATTGACTTGGTTCAGTCGCTTGCCGAGAATGTGCCTGAGTTAAAGTATTACTATATGGGCTTCTACATACACTCCTGCCCAAAAATGCGCTACAAGGGCAAGTTGTCCGCCTCATACTTGCTGTGCCCAGAGACTTATGATTGGTTACCACTTACCGATGGTAAATTTTACGTTTAAGTTATCTTTGTTCTTCACTAATATAAAATTATCCTATCTTTAGCCATTCGATCTAAGCTAGACGAACACAAATACCAACGTTTAAACGCTGATGCTAATGCCAGGGATGTAAATGAGTTTTTAATGGAGCATTTAGACGATGTAAGGCTGCTTTTGGGTGTTAACAATTTCACCTACTATAAGAACTACAACCAGGTATGTATTATTGAAAGTAAAGAAGTAAAAATATTTATATAAATTAAATTTATTACAGCTGAGCGACTCAGAGAACGAAATGATAATTGAGTACAGCAAGCTTGTGGGAAAAGTATGTGCCCGACGAATGCTGTACGTTAATATTGTTTAGTTTGTACGTTTGGAATTTTAGTCAAGTAAAGTTTGTCATTGAAATTATTTACATTGTTTATACACCGTTGGCTTTATTAAAGATACACTAAGCTAATTTTGCCTTCTAAAAATAGAACGTTTTAAGGGTCTCTGGTACGTTAGCTCCAGGCAACCTACTTTGTGGGCATTTAAGGGAAAAGATGCTTGTCATTAATACATATCCCGTTGACAGTTTCCACTCATAATCGCTGTTTATCTGAAACAAGCAGCTAAATGCATCAATTAAGCTTTATGGGCTGGCAACATATACATTTTCTGTTGGTACAAGTCATATACCCGTCGCAGATAATGCCCATTATATGGCATACACAACGCTAGATAGTTGGCCAGGAAGCTACTTGTCGGAATGAATTTAAGTCTCGCAGATCGCTGGAAGGTTTCGGATGTGTGGAAAGGTTTTGGGTGGGAAACTGCCTACTCTGAAAATAAAGTTATCCAAGGTGAGAAGTGTGAAAAGCTATTTGCGGGTATAGGTGAATATTTAATCATAAATAAACGTAAGTCAATAATATTTGCTCTGCTTTGGCTTTTCACTGTAACTTGTGAAGTAAGCTAATTAAACAAAAATTATAAAACAAGTAAACGGTCAAGTGAGTTTTGGCAACACGTGTGTTTTAATGGTATTTTTTAAAAATTTATTAGGCACAGGACGGGTTTTTTGATTTGCTCAACTGCCAAATTCATGCAAATGCGGGCATAAACTATTCTATCATACACCGTACTTTCGGTGTACACAATAAATTAGTAAACTTAATATAATGTGGTCATATTTTTGAATTATTAGTCACTGTGTTTATTGGTTTACATTTTAGCACGATTTTGTGATTTTTTTGTTTAAAAATTTCTCGAGGTGGAATCGCATGCGATTTCTGGCACGCTATCAGAAAGCGTAAAAAAAGCCATCCAGTCGACAACGGTGAGCTTCAACCGTCAGCAACAGTTTAAACAATTTTTAACCGTTTTGCGCTGCCTGGCCACCGCTGCTGCTGTTGCTGTTGCTGCTGCTGCGACTGCTAAAACTGAAACTGCGGCTGCGGCAGGTGGAAGTTTTGCTTAAAATCGTCGCCCAAGTATATATGCCATTGGCAACTGCCGATTTAGCTTCATTCGCCGCGCGACGTTCTCAGCAGTTCGATTCGGCCGGCGAGCTCCCAAATAAGTACCAACCATATAAAGTGAGTTCAGTTCGGCGGTGCAAACTAGCTATTAACGCATTTTCCTCGGGCCTCTCAACGGGAAAGTCCAGTTTTTATTATTTTGAATTTTCAAAAATATCTTCACCTGCCACAAACTTTATTTGAAATTTGTTTCGGGCGGCTGTGGTAAAATTCCATGCAAAATTGGTGCCACGAAAGAAGTACGAATCGAAAAACATAAGCAGAGATAAACAGAGATGACTTTGAGTGTTTTGTGATCGCGAGTTGTTTTTGTGCCAAAAGTGTCGTTCATTGCAAATTTTCCATAACGAATCGATAAACAGAAATCTAGGAAGACAGGCCCCCTTATGTTAGATCTTTATTGTTTTGTTAAACCAACCAAATACAAGAACATTCCCATATTTACTTTCGTAAAATATATTACTTTTTCAAAATTGTATAACTATTTGCTATATCTTTCTCGAAGAAGAGAGAAATCGGCGAAATATTTGTGCAAAACATTCGAAAATAAAAGCCAGAACTGACGCTTTTTTGGCTTTGACCGTTTTATTTTCAGTTACCCAAAAATTTGCATTTCAAATAATAACAGGTTTTGTTATTTCGATTCATTGAACCGCGACGACTATTCGAAACAATTTCAAATTGTTTTGGATTTGAATTTGGACAAGACAGGTAATCTGTGGGTACCGCTAATTCCAGGTCTTGGTAGCAAGCCAAAAGCCGGGAAGCTATAATCTTTAATCTCTGAGGCTAAGGATTTCAGACTGTGGACCGAGTCTGGACAGGTTGATTGAAAGAAGTATCTAGGTTAATGTACAGGTTTGGGTCTTCGCAAAATATTCACACGCCAGCTTTTGATTTATGCAACGACATCCAAACCGTTTGCCCAATCCCAGTCAACTTACATTTTTACGATTTGTTAAAAAATATGAACAACACGAGCCAATATTTGGCACTCGTGTTTTATATTAGCAAGTGTGCGCAATTTTTTCAATTGTCGCATTGATTTCGCATTATTTAATTTACTGCATAAATGAACAGGCATTTGAAGCCATTATTGTGTGTAGATTATTTTGTTTACATGCGTCACGTAATTTTCGAAAATTTAATTATAACGTGCAAAAATGCAAAACAAAAAATCAAAATACAAATTATATGATTTCAATGGGAATTGGTGCAAAATGACTGTTCGCCCGAGTGAGGCTAGGAGGCTATGAGAACCGAAATTGAGCAAAAACAATGATCTACAACAATAACTGCCAACTAACTGGGTTCATTACCGGTCTTGATTTGCTAGCCAGTTACGGTTGATTGCCGTTGAAATAATTTGCAGAGTTCTATGCCTGCTCACATACCAAACCAAATAATGTGAGACCATTTTTGGAGACCAGGGGATCCCAAGAAAAAACAAAAGAGGAGGAGGGACCAACCTCAAACCATGTCAACTGGGCAACCAAGTCTTATGTAAATCGAACGCGTGTTGTGAATATCCAAAGTTTTTGCCTCATCTTTGGACTCGTGGCCAAACTACCTATACGTATCCTACCAAGAAACCGCTTTCCGATTGTAAATCAAATCATTTATCGTGCTAATACACACAGTTTGCAGTAAACAGGGACCACTGCGATTGCGGCTAATTGACGATTAACCTGACTCTAATGATCGTCGTTTACAAGCTGATGGCCAACTTATCACGACCATGCCCATGCGCCCGATTCGACTACATTGTATAACTTTATAGCACCTCTTTATGGCCCATAAATCGTCGAGCTGATTTTATGGAGTCAATGGTAAACGATGTTGATAAAAGCGTAACGCTGCAGATTAGAATGAGAAGCTGGCGTTAACTTAATTTCCCCATATAACCCCAAGTAGGAAAAACCAAAAGCATTTTTTAGCCCTAATTATTTGTTTAAGCTTTCAAAATTCACAATTTTGCACAATGCTTTTGGGTTATCGGGAACCAAGATCGCTGAATTGCTGTAACAGACCCTGTAATTAGAGGCTTACTAACTTACTATTAGCCCCAAATTAATGCCGAAGGTCATTGGCTGCGTTCTTTGATCTCTTCTCAAAAGGTATAATTAAAAGATTTCAATTCACGTATTGCGAATCAATAATTCCAATCTAGTTCCGACTATTTGCCAAATTAGTTTTCCCGAATCCAATCTACGGGTATTCACATTTAAGTCACGTAAGACCCTCAAAGGAGGGTCGAAGGGGTTTCTTTTTTTCTCATAGATACAGTTATCTAGTCATAGGATACGATATCATACTACTAGTTGGAACTAAAAATAAGTTGAGAATTATTTTTACTGCTGTTTGTTTGGCATCTCTGGATCGAGCTGCTGTTAAAAGATAATATGACACTATTGCCATTCCTAGGTTCCATTCAGAAAATTGATTGCCTGAGTTGAGATTGCTTATCAGGTTGTGTACAAAGAAACTCTAAAATTTATGAGCCACTTCGTAAAATAACATTTAATCGTATTTTATGATTTAGGAGTACAATTCCAAATGCTTTGAGTACGGGAAGTTGAATGTTCTTATGGGCTTATGGGCCGGCCACTAGCATTTTGGATTTTGGCCGGATATATAGGGCAATAATTAAGCAAGCCAACAGCAAGTGTTCGAATTCAATATAATTCGTAATTATATATGTATACATATATATGACAGTGCCTTTTATGTAGACAAGTTGAAAAGCTTTTGCGCAAACATTTCTTTTGTGCGAAATGCAGCGAGGGCAGCTGTTTAAATGCTCCAACCACCAGAACATCACTTCGGAACGATGGGAGATCTAAGCAATACTATCGCCAGATCATATCCCAGAGATCGTTCGGATAGGATGATTGGGAAATGGGGATGGCATGCCGCCGGGCAATTATCATTGCTTCCTCGATGCAAAAATATTCCGACATTGGCAATGCAATTCGACACTTTCGTGGCACGATCGGCGTCGGAACTGGTGGCACTTGATTTAGTTTCGTATTTGGTTATTTTGTTATTTTTGCAACTCGTAACTCGATTTGACTAAACGGGGCCCTCACGTGCCGGTTTTAAAGTGCCAAGTGGGACGTGCTTATAAAATTTGACAAGTGCATTGCACGCAGATACCGCTAAAAGTGCTCTAGAATGATATGGCTTGTGGCTAGTAAAATGAGGGTTAATTCGAAATAGACCGACTGCTATATGTGCACTTGTGATTATCGAGTTTTTATTTAGTTAGCAGTATTGCGACATCTCTATGGGGGCTATCACTTTCAGATTGCAACTATTACTGAAAGCTTAATAGAGCTGAACTACTAAAAAGTGTTACTTTTCTACTATATATTCTCCCTAACAATATAAACGGATTGTTGTAGATATCTAGCTTGCATTTAAACTTAATTGAGAACTTAATGAACATTGCGATAAGCAATAACCTCTATTTAAACTAATTAATTATAGTTAGTAGATATTATAGGTTTCATTTTTAATGACTTACTATTACTCACAACACTTTATTTCTTTTAAAAACTGCTTAGGATTAATAACAGTAATAACTTAGCAACTAACTTTCTTTTGAAATTTAAAGGATAATTAGCGGAAATACAAAAACTTTTAGTGAACTTATGACATTATATAATCCTATTAATATATATAATTTATTTATTTAAAATCATTTTAAAGACAAGTTATAAACACCACGTTTATTAATTGAGATTTATGGTTTTTTTCCCAAAAGTTAACGCTGTCCGCTGGCACTTAATTGATTTATTTTTAAACTTAATTATATTCAAAAGAGTGATACAAAATTTATGACCATTTTATACACTGGCCAAAAACTTTTACCTGGACAGCTGGTCGGCTGTTTAGAATGTAAATTTATTAAAATTAATAGACGTCTTTAGGATCAGGTGATACCGAAAATAGCCAAGGATGACTCGACAGATAATAACTCATTTAATTTATGCGCCAATAATTTTTTGGCAAAATGCCTCGGGGAGTACCCGTACCGTAAGGTGATCTGCATAAAAGTCTTGCTAACAGCTTCCTCTTTTTGTTGTTGTTGCCTTTCCAGCTGACACCTGACGCGAGGCACCGGAGCCATAACAAAAGCCGCCGAAATGGCCTTCATGCCGTGCTGTAAGTATCCACTTGAACGAGTATATATTGCCACACACACACTTTCGGATTCACCAGAAGCACGAGTCATGAGCGAAAAATGTCCCATCAATAACACCTCACGTGCTCTTCGATCGGCCAAGTGAAAACCCCGAAAAAATATTGTTTCGAATTCAAATATTGAAATTTGCGCATGCGCAACCCATTAGAGATCTCCGACCCGCCCAAAACGGGAATTGGGATCTTGCCGATCCGCTAATTGAACTAATGGGCTGCTAGGGGCCTGTGTCGCTATCGAAAATTGAATAACGATCTGTCAATAACCAATATTTACTGTCGTTTGCAGTCTATGTGCCTAAGCGGATCAACCTGGCGATCATGCTCTTCATGGCCTGTCTTCTCAGCTACATGATGCGGGTGAATCTCTCGATCAACATCATCGCCATGGTAGAGGATACAAGCAGCCACGAGAATGGAACGGAAGTGGAGGTCCTGCCCAATGTAAGTATTTAAGTTAATATCTTAGTTAGATATTTTAGTTTAAACTTAACTATCTTCTAGTATGGACCACGTTATAACTGGACCCAATCGGATCAGGCCCTTCTTTTGGGTGCCTATTTCTATGGCTATATGATAACCTCTTTGCCAGCCGGAACCTTGGCTGAAATGCTTGGAGCTCGAAATGTAGCCGGTTATAGTTGCCTGGTGGCCGGAATCCTTACGGCTCTGACTCCGGCGGCAGCCGCCTGGGACAAATATGCGGTGTTCGCCGTTCGTTTCATGATTGGTTTTCTCAATGGCGTGGTGTATCCATGTTGCCACAGTCTTGTGTCCAAGTGGTCACCTCCAGATGAAAAGGGAAAGTTTGTGGCCTCTTTGATGGGAGGAACTTTTGGCACGGTCATTACTTGGCCAATCAGTGGAGTGATCATCGAGAATCTAGGCTGGGATTGGGCCTTCTACATTGTGGGCATATTTGTGTTGGTTGTGGTGGCCATTTGGTTCTACTTGGTGGCCGATACTCCCGCTCAGCATAGCACAATCAGCCTGAAGGAGCGGGAATACATTGAGAACAGTTTGGGAAGCACTCTGAGCAACAAGAAGGTAAGCAAGTTGATTATCATTTTTAGATTTCATCCATTAATTAAACAATTATTACTTTCAATCATTTCATTGGTCAAAACTGGCTTTATCCAAGTCTTATTTAAGACATCTGTTCGATGAATATTTTTATGACTCATGCTTTCGACTTTTTCGTAAACAAATTAGAGCCTTTAATTGTGATAAATGAAATTATTTCATGGCAAAACAAAACCCTAAACATTTGGTCTTATGGAACTATTATAAACCCAATACTTTTGTTTTCCTTTTGCAGAAGTGGCCTCCATACAAGGAGCTGATCCTGTCCCTTCCCTTCTGGTCGCTGATGATGCTCCACTACGGCAGCATGTGGGGCTTGTTCTTCTTGATCACCGCCACGCCCAAGTTCTTGAGCGAGGTCCTGGGCTTCAATCTCTCCTCTGCCGGTTTCCTGTCCAGTCTGCCTCATGTGGCACGTCTGCTGTGTGCCTTTGGATTTGGCGCAGTGGCGGATTGGATTCGCCGACGCGGTTGGTTGTCCGTAACACGCATGCGAAAGGCCTTCTGTCTGCCCTGTAAGAGGATTTTACTGATTCATATTGAAAGTATTTTATAGTTTTCTTAATTTATTTTTAATAGCTCACATCTTGCCTGGTGTTATGCTGATTATCCTGGCCTACTTTGGTCGCGATCCGTACGTTTGTGTGGCCATTATGACCATTTCTCTGGGTTTCAACGGTGCTGCCACGGCCTCCAATTTGGCCAATTCTCAGGATTTGGCACCCAACTATGCGGGCACGCTGTATGGAATCATCAATTGCATTGGCACCACTCCGGGAATCTTCTCTCCCCTGATTGTGGCCGCTTTCACGAAAAACGAGGTTTGTGGGGATACGTTAAAGTATCTTATAAATATTATTAACTAACATCCAATCCTTATACAATAGAACACCATCGATCAATGGCACTGGGTCTTCATAATTGGAGCCGCTGCCTATATATTGCCTGCGCTGTTTTTCTGGGTCTTCGGTTCGGGCAAGATCCAGAAATGGAACGAGGTTCAAACCACCGAGTCGCGCGAGGATATTGTCAACACAAAGTTGTAGTTTGTGCCCTGGCAATCATCTGTGATGTTGTATTCTTAGTATTATGCCATAACTACGATGTGTACTTGTTTATAGAGAGTCCTATTAAAGCTTTAGCTGTGTATTTATTATTAATCAAAATAATGGTTTCACTTAGCACACGTGAGATGTGACTCACTAGTCAGGTGAGGTCAAAACCAGTTCCTCTTAGATTGGCACAACGACCTTAGCCTGGTTTTCGGGGGAATACTTTGGCGAACTGGTTGGGGCTTTTTGCAGAACTTTATTCGATTAGAGGCACTCATGCAAAAAACGAAATTGACACTGATAATTAGTCAAATGCTAATCAAATTTGAGGACACTTTGAACTAACAAATTGCCGCGATTAATTGCGTGTTAGCATCGTGTTCATACGAGTTTGAATAGGTTATCAGTGGGGACAAAACACAGTTCATTAGGTGTGAAAATTCATTTTAAATTTCAAAATGTATTTGGTTAGTCATAGATTTGGTGTGAAATACCAAAGTGTGTCCAAAGTATCTTATAATATGAAAAAAATTTTACTATGGAAAATGGAAATAGTCCAACAGTTTATTGATGGCCTGGTAAGCTTTAAGATTCATACTAATATCCTTAATGGTCACAACAAATGAGAAACTTTACCCTGACAAGTTAGCCACTTAACCAGCCCATAATTAGCACCCCAACTTTATGGCATTAAGGACATCGGCGTGGCCTATAAAAGCCTGTGCTTAGTCTGTCCGCTACAGAAAGTACAAAATGATAGAACCGGGAAAGTGGCCATCACCTGGCAAAAGGACCTCCGAAGCAAGTAGTACCAGGAAGGGAAGGAAGAATCCTAGTACTCTCAAGGCGGCCATGCTCGCCACTTTCTGGGAATACACGGAGCGGACCAAAGTTAGCGGCATATGGCTAATGCGTCGGAATCGCACCTACGGCCTTTCCAGGTTTATCTGGTCTTCTGTTCTGCTTCAGTTGCTCCTGCTAAGCATATATCTAACCCTGCTTCTATGGCTAAAGTTCTACTCATACCCCATCTTGAATACCATTTCCAATGACCTCTCAATTACGGATGTTGCCTTTCCCGGCGTTACCATTTGTAGTCCAAAGGTTGTAAACTCGGAACGGGTGGAACGCTATGTGAAGACACTGTAAGGAGTTTGAAAGTGCCTCCATAGATTGTATTTACTACTGTTTCCTCTTTAGTAAGATTCCCAAGGAGTACGACATTGCAGAGGTCACAGCCGGCTTTGATTTCCTTAACGCCTTCACGGATCAAAGTTTTGAGCCACCTGGACACGAAAGTTATCGGGCCACTGATGCCGTCCTACGGCTAAACAACGTGTCCACCTGGGAAGCCGCCATGGCCGTCAGTCCGGGTTGCGAAGACTACGTGAAGCGCTGCTTCTGGGGACATACGGAGTTCAAGTGCAACCAGAGCCACGAGTATCTATCGTTTATCCCCACGACGGCTTACCTAGGTCCCTGCTGCTCGTTTAACTACAATCCGAGGAACGCCAGTTTCGTCCCTTTTTCAGCAAACATCTTTGGCATGGATGGTGGATTGACTTTCGTGGGGGCGGAGGGCAGTGAACGAAACCTGAATACTGGTCTCATTGTTTTGGTACACCATCCCATGGACTATGTGACGGAGTCGGCATCTTCGGTTACCATTACTGCTCGTTCTGAAAGCTTTGTGGAGGTCTCACCCACGGTGCAGAGTTCTTCGGCGGAGGTCTTGGAACTTTCGGAGCGTAAGAGGGACTGCCTCATCTCGGACGACCTGCAGCTGAGGAACTATCGCCAGGCTGCCTGCCTGCTATCCTGTCAGACAGATGCCATTGTTCAGAAGTGCGGATGCCATCCATATTTGCTACCCATTGTGGGCAACAAGTTCAAGGAGTGCAATCTAAACGATACCTTCTGTTACTCAGCTAACTATGGTTGGTTAATCTTCTAGGTTTTTATGTTTTGTAATAATATTTTTCCTGCCTTTATAGATAATTTTAAAAGTGTGCGCTGTGACCAGTGTCTGCCCAATTGCTATGACGTTACCTATTCCACGCTCTCCTATAAAACGGATCTTAATCAGCATCAGTTCTCCGTTAGCCGTTTCTAGTAAGAAGTATCTACTGTATAATCTATCAGTTATTCAGGTATTCGTTTCCCAATAGCTCCCCAGAGCTCCTGAACAGTGACAGCTTCGTTCTCCGAGTGTACTTGGCCAAGCAAGTAGTCCCAGTTATCCGTAAAGTGACTGTTATGTCCTGGATAGGATTATTATGTAAGTCATAAAACTTCTTTGTGAATCAAGAAATTAATTTGTTACATTTTCAGCTGATTTGGGTGGTATCTTCAATCTTTGCCTGGGACTTAGTATGATTTCTGTGGTTGAATTTTTCTACTACTGTACGTATCGCTTGTATACCAACTATCAACTGCAAAAGGCCCAGCAGCCTAGAAAGGCATGGCAATAGATTTGGTATAAATCTAACCGTTTGAGTGGCTTTTTAAAAATTCAAAAGTAAGCGCTACGGTCAAAAATATCGATGACAGGGTTGCCATATTTAGCTACAGTTGCTAATTACATTTGGTATTTTAATAAAACGGTCATATTTATTAGTATTAGTATTTTAGTTTAAAGTGCTTACTCTGCAGAGATTATAAAGAATTATAACTTTTAATTAAGAAAAGGAAAAAAAAAACATATTGGAATGATATAGAAAACTCTTGCGGCATACGTTCATACTGCCCTTAATACTCGATAGACGCAACAATCGACCTCTGATAAAGGAGATAACCAATCGATATCGATGCATCGATAGCGGTCACCGCTTCTGTTGGACTCTATATTTTAATTTGTTTAACAAATTGTAAGGCCAGTACGCAAGGTAACGCGGCGGCGCATAATACATTTCTAGTACAATTATAATAAAAATCCGCGCAAAATGGCCGAGGTTGAAGCCGTTCAGATAATTGCCGAGTCATTGAAGCAACAGGTAAGAGGATCACCTGGCTGTCGGTCTATTTGTCCGACATCTTTGTACTGCACTTTTCTGCATTTGCCCCTTGCGCGAGCATCTCGAAATATATCTTACAAATTGACGGGGCCGTGGAATCTGCGGAGCTGGCGAGAACAATGGAGTGGTCTCTTATCTTGAGGCACCTGTTTGTTGTGCAAAGTTCAAAAACACTTGGTAGCTGTTGTTGTTGCTGGAATTGGCCCACCGATTACTCCCGTTCATAAAGAACATAGCGGATTTGATAAAGAACGTGTTCCAAAGGTTTGGGACCACGACCCAAACACCTTGTGCTTGCAGCGGCGATTATCGCCGGGGGGCAGATTAAAATCAATAAAACTTTAACCGGATTCCGGGCAAATCACTTAAGAACGTGTTTGCACATTGGCTACTGATTTGCTCTATAAATTTACAAGTTATGCGATTGAATGTTTGATTGACGGCTATGTGGCGACTAAAAATAATAAAATCTTTATTCCCAAACAGGGTGTGGAGTATGTCTTTGGCATCATCGGCATTCCGGTCATCGAGCTGTCCATGGCCTTCCAGGCTGCCGGACTCAAGTACATCGGAATGAGGAACGAGCAGGCCGCCTGCTATGCTGCCCAGGCGATTGGATACCTGACTGGCAAACCTGGTGTCTGTCTGGTGGTATCCGGCCCTGGACTGCTGCATGTAACAGGTAAGAATACGGATAAGATAACAAGCTAAGCTAAGCTAATCCTTGCTAATCCTACCTCGCTCGCTAACCAGGTGGCATGGCTAATGCACAGGTCAACTGCTGGCCCCTGATCGTCATCGGCGGAGCCACCAACCAGGATCATGAGGGTATCGGCGGGTTCCAGGAGTGCCCACAGGTGGAGCTGTCGCGTCCTTACTGCAAGTACGCTGCCCGTCCGGCTACCGCTGCCCTTATCCCTCTGCACGTTGAGAAAGCTGTGCGATATGCCACCTATGGACGTCCTGGAGTCGCGTACCTCGACTTCCCCGGCAACATCCTGCAGTCTAAGGCACAGGAAGCTCGCATCTATAAAGCTCTGCCCCACCCGGCTCCCCCACTAGCCTATCCTCCCCACGACGATGTTATCCGGGCCGCCAAGTTGCTGCGCCAGGCCAAGCGACCATTGGTGATCATTGGCAAGGGATCCGCCTACGCTCATGCCGAGAACACATTGCGGCACTTCATTGAAAATACCAACTTGCCCTTCCTGCCTACCCCAATGGGCAAGGGCGTTGTGTCCGACACGGCACCGCAGTGTGTCTCCTCGGCTCGAACTCTGGCCCTACAGAAAGCCGATGTCGTGCTGCTCCTGGGCGCTCGCCTCAACTGGATTCTCCACTTCGGAAAGGCTCCGCGTTACGATAAGGATGTGAAATTCATCCAGGTCGACATTAACCCCGAGGAGCTGCATAACTCGGTGGTGGCCTCTGTGGCTATCCAGGCGGACATCCGTCCTTTCGCCGAGCAACTGTTCGAACAGATGAACGCCGTGAACTTCCGTTTTGGCTATGAGCAGGATTGGTGGAAGCAGCTAGCCATTAAGTGCAAGCAAAACCGCGACACCGTGCAAAAGATGTCTTTGAACACAGATACACCACTCAACTACTACGCGGTGTTCCACCATCTTCGTGAGCTGTTGCCCAAGGACACGATCATCGTTAGTGAAGGAGCCAATACTATGGACATTGGACGTTCTATGCTGTTGAATGAGCAGCCACGTCACCGCCTGGACGCCGGTACCTTTGGCACTATGGGAGTGGGTCCCGGTTTCGCCGTGGCCGCCGCCCTTTTCTGCCGCGACTTTGCCCCCGGAAAGCGAGTGTTGTGCGTGGAGGGTGACAGTGCCTTTGGATTCTCGGGCATGGAGATTGAGACTATGGTGCGATACAAGCTGCCCGTGACCATTGTGATCGTGAACAACAATGGCATCTACGGCGGATTTGACAAGGACACCTTTGAGGCCATTCGAAGTGAGGGCGATCTTACCCAAATGTGAGTGCTGGTAGCTTATCGGTTTATCTGGTACAACTACTTACGGCTAATCTTATCTTGCAGCACACCACCCTCAGCACTCGGCGTTCAGGTGCGCTACGAGGAGATGATGAAAATGTTCGGCATGCAGGGCTACTTCTGCACAGAGATCGAACAGCTGCAGGCGGCTGTCAAGGCGGCCAATCAGCTTACGGATAGGCCCACAATCATCAACGTGGCCATTAGCCCGTCCTCCGATCGCAAGCCGCAGTCCTTCAACTGGCTTACTGAGTCAAAACTGTAGGATACCATTTACGTTTAGGTCTTAAGCACAAAGTTCACCATTCCGAAAGTTATATTGCCACGAATTTTTCTGTATATACATGCAATTTTTGATACGCCCTGTTTACTTCTTAAATGTTGGCTCGCTTTAGTTCCTCCTCTAGACCAAGGTAGTCCAGGAACCAGGTGAAGTCCACCAGTCGACCTTTGTGCAGGAAGGGCAGCTTAGGGCACAGTTCAAAGGCGATGTTAAGCGGAGCAATGTCGGGCACTTGGTCGCTGCGCATGTTAAAGAAAGCCAGGAAGTCGCGCACCTCGATCTCATTTTGTCCGTTGCGCTGCAGCACCATTAGAATGTCCTCCACAAGCTCCAGACTGAAAGGTAGCCGGCAGCCACGCAAAGTGGACCTGACTTGAGCCTCGCTGATGTAAGGCCTGCAGGCCGGATTGATATGACTCAGATGATCGTGTAGTTGATCCACTCCGTTCCATAAGGCGCGCTTTAGCTCAAGTTGGGCAGCAGCTCGCACTCGATTCCTGTCGCAGCTAGGAGGCATTGCCTGTTCAGCCGAGAAAAAGCGACAAACGGTCACTATTTCATGGTTGAGCAGGCAATCCTTTGACAGATACGAAAGGAGAGTGGATCGGAGCGTGTCAAAGCTTACGGTGGTGTAGTCACCGAGGTCTCCATCCGGCTTGCAGCTAAGCACAAACTGCTTGTACTCTGGACGCACTGCCTCGCGGATCTTCTGCATGATCAGTCGTATATCGGCTACGGGGAACTGAAAGGAAATAATAATTTTTGATATATAAACATACAAAGAGGAGCTGCAACATATGTTTACCTCGCTGGGATGTTGTTCCATGTACATCAGAGTAAACTCGTCAGCCGAAACAATGTGGAAGATATGATCTTTCAGAGTCATGGTGCGTCCTATATAGAAGTCATTAGCTCTGTAGTACTCAGGCCGCGAGGAGCTAAACATATCCTGACCAGGCAGTGGAACACGTGCCTTCTTAAGGAACTCTCCGCCCAGGAAGCCTGAGTTCCTGCGGGACGACTCGTATATCTGTACTGTGTCATCGGCTAGGAAGTAGCTAATGACAAAATCACGCTCTCCATTGTCTCGAATGGCCGAAACGAGTTTAGCCCCAAAGCGCAAGATGCAGCCATCGTACTTGAAGAGCTTCTTGAAGTCTGCCTGTGGGGGTTTGGGCTCCACGGTAATGCAGTTGCCCTCGGAATCCTCATGGCTACCCCATCCATTGTAGGGTGGCAGTCTGCGAGATTGTATGCTACCCTGAGTGTATGGACGGATATCACTTCTCTCTGGAATCGGTTGAGCGCAAAACTCCTGGATGCCATACTATGTTATGGAAATATAATGATTCTTTCTTTAAGCCTCAATTATTATGAAAAACATTCCCTTCTTCACTTACCTTCTCCCGGTAGTAACTCTGTGTGAACTGGTCACAGCCTGTAAGGACAACAGCCCTTCCAAAGACATTTAAAACGGCTCCGATCTGCAGATCCTGATCAGTGTAGTTCTGCACTTCTCTTTGGCCAGTGTTTAACGGGTCGGCTACGTAACGCACATCGCGCATACTGTTACCCAGGACATTAAGCAAGGTCATAGCCGTTTGTTGGCCAGGCAGGGGAAGTCCCGAGAACTCTTTTGGCAGCTTTCCTCGTTTTAGGAATGTGCTGGGTCCTTCTCTTCCAGAATTCCGTGGGAACTTCTCCTTAATGTCAATAGTGTCATCGGCCAGATAGTAACAGATTTCCAGCTTTCTCACATCGCCAAACTCGCTCCGATCGTTCCAATATCCCTGGAACTTAAGCACCCGTCTATCGAACTCCAGAAATTGGGCGAAGGTATGCTTTTTGGGTATAGCCGAGGAGCAGGAGTTAGCTGTCTGTTTTAAGGCAGAACGTTTTCGGATTTCCGTGGTGGGATCACTGAGAAAAGAAATTTAAGGTTTTTATTATAAATAGAAGGCTTTGAAATAGTTGAGTTTCTTATATATAAGTATTTGTCTGTATTAAAAAAACTTAAAATTTAAAAAAAGGTCTCCCCGTCTTACCATGGCTCCTGCTGAGCCTCTGGCACAAAGATGCCAGCTCGGTTAAGGAACTGTCGCGTGAATATGTCGCATCCGCTGATGTGGTAAACCCTATCGAAGATCTGCACATCCGTATCCACGTTTAGATCAAAGATGGAGATAAACTCGCGGTCGGTTGGTGGAGCTTTTGGGATTCGCTGGCGGTGAACCAAGCAACCCTGTGGTATACCAGAATTCTCCACCTTTGGCTCGGTGACCTGCATGGTGCCATCCTCCAGGTAAAAGTAGATCTTCACCTTGCGCACCTGGTAGGGGGCATGGTAGATCTCGGTCAGGTTCTCCTTGAAGTAGGCGGTGAAGCAGAGCACCTGTTTGTCATAGGCCAGCCAGGGGGGCAACTTGGTGGTGGCTTTCGGTGCCCACAGACTGTTGAGTTGGGCGGGCACGGGTGGACACTTTGGATCAGCAACGATGCCATTGGGTTCCACCAGCTCGGGTTCCCGGCGGTCCGACAGCATCTGAATGCCCTGGTAGTGCATCAGGGTCTGTTGTCGCGGATGGCGACGTTTGCCACGCTGTCAAGGAGTCTCATATTAATTATTGAAGGATACCTAATCGAACCATTCTTACATCGTAGAACTGCGCTCCTGGCAGCATGGGCATTCCCGGTAATCTCATCATTTTCACAGGTAATTTCGTACTCTTTTGGTTAATCCAAAGTGTAATTTTGTTGCCAATTGCCTTGCCAAATCGTTGTGGTTACATTTGTATCGAAACCAAAAGAAATTCTGTGGCAGTTAACGCCACGCAGCAGAATTCTGGACTGGCCGAGTGTTTCGACATTTCCGCTGCTATTCGATAAATGGAACAAACGGAACTATGGCAATGCCACCTCGCCATGGCAGCCTGTGAAGTCAACTGGCCAACAAACAGCAACTGGTAGCGGTTTCCAAGGAGGGTTTGGGTCAGCATCTACCCTGCTAGGCATAGCGGCACTGTGACTGCTTCAGGATATTAGCATATAAGTGTTATGATTAAATTCTTATGAATATGATAATATATTTTAGTTTCATTTTAATTTCTAGACCGCATTTTGGTATCCAATAATAATCTAATCTAAGCTAATCATATTGGAAAATAAACATATATCGTCAAGTGCCAGTCCAACCTGTAGTTGACTCACGTCACACCGTCACACTTTGTCGTTGAACCTGAAAGCTTTTCAATCAGTGATTGAATTGGTGTCGCGGTCTAATGACTTTCTAGAGTCATGGCCTTCGCTTACAGTGGACGCTAGAGGTGCAGACGTAGTGTTCGCTAATTAGTCTGACAGGCAAAAGTAGGAAACCCACAGAAGCACGTGCTTTTTCTCACCTCTCTCTGAAACTATCAACTCATCTTACAACCTATAGTAAAACCATGGCATAGCACTGAAATTCTAAGAAATGAGATGATAAACGCTCTTCAGAGCTCGATCAGACAACACAGAAGCGGCGATATGAACCTATTGTGAGTTAATGAACTGTGAAGTGATATTTGATTTATTTCAACTGACTGGAGATCCTCTCTAACTTAGAGCCAAGATTGTACTTCTACTTTTGGCCCTGGAGGCTGTAACTGCCTTGGAGACTAATCTCACATCCTGGCGACATCATCGAAGACAAAAGCGATTCCTAATTTATCAGAACGGCGGTGTTATCAAGGTTAGACATTGAATATTTATTTAAAATAGTGATCAACATTTATATGTATCTTTAAAGTTTGTTTCAGGTTGTGCATTTCCGGTTCCGTTTATGGAGAAAAAGGTGTGGCGCCAGTTGGTTTGGCTGATGAACTTCCACTACCAATTCAATGAGCCACAAACTCCTATATACTGGTGGAAACTATGGGATGGTTCCCGTAATCTTAAAGGACCTATTACCCAACCAGTTACTCCATCGGTTCCCGCTCGTCTTCTAGTGGATGAGCCTCAGCTTTTGCTTTTCAAGTTCGCTGAGGGTTACATGAATCAGTTGGGTCAGAATGGAACTGCCTGTCTCGAGAGATTGATTTGTGAGAATGGTCAGGTGGACGAGCACAGAGGACTCTATGCGCAACTTCTACACAGATTGTTAAGGTGAGCTGATTTTCCCTTTCAATATAGCAATATATAAGATATATAAATTCCATAGACCACATCGAACGCTGGACGGTCGATATATAGATGCTTTTAGGATGGGTCGCCATGGTGTCAATTGCCGAAAAGCCTTTCCAGAGGCCAATCACTGCGTTTTGGATGACTATATACACCTTCATGAACGAGGACCCACACAGAGTTTTCTTTAAGCGTAGAATTAGATTGCGGGGAGGCTTTCCCTTTAGACAAAAGGCGCCGGTTGCCAATAGTTCAATAGCATTTACATGACATGTACAAAACTAATTAATGGTAATTAAAGATAATAATTAAATAATTATACATGTATGACTATATACAACGAGGTCATCCAAATTCCAATGATTATTTGGCACTGGATCCGTGTTCTCCATCATCATCATCATCGTCTTCATCCGACACTCGCCAAGTCAATTGGTAGTACTTTTTGTCATTGCTGGTTAGCCAAAGGAGAGCACAGCGGTTGGTGCAGAAGTTGCAGGTGAAGAGCTGCTTGGATGTGCTGCCACGCCTATAAGAAAGCATTTTTAATATAGCTAATGGTTTGATTGAAAAGAATATCCCGAAATGAAAGGTAATTCCAGCCAAAATGTAAAAAAACTTTAAAAAGGAAGATTCTAATCGAAGTCAGAATGAGGATGTACTTGGTAATCTCTTTGTGTTAATACTTATACTAAAAACCTCTACATTGGTAACACATTGCCCACTTATGCAGTCCCCACTGTACTTCTTGCGGTTGTGATAGGTCCATCTGCCCCAATTAGAAAGCGGACCGGTTTCGGTGATATCAAAACAATGACCACATGACTAACGCCCAGCATACGTAAGCATAACTCGGACCCACCTTTTCACGACCATGAAGTAGTACGAGGTGTATAGACATCTGGAGCAGGTGGAGTTCGTGCAGCGGGCGATGGGGCCGTTGTTGATGTGGGAACTGATGTAAGGTTCCGGCAGCAGGCGATGCAGGGCGGTGTTCTCATAGACGGGGACAGAGCGATTCAGGGTTTGAACGGCATGCAGGCAGTCGTCGTAGAGTGTGACCCGATTTTCTCGAGAAGGAACCGGAAATACTGTACGAGTGCCTACGGGAAGCATCAGCCTGGTGTTGCTCTCTAACTCGCGAATCCAAAAAAGACCCTTCCGATGAATGGCGCTGGGAAAAGGGAATAATATGTTAGTAAGACAAAATTAGAAAGAAAGGATATCCTAGCCATAGGTCGAATTGGTAAAAACAATAAAGTATCTAAAGTCAATAGAACATTTGCTATATATTGGTTTTCTCTATGCAATTTTCTCCCTATATCTGTTACCATATACTAAAATTCCCTTAGTCATGTTCAAAGGCAACATGCCAAGAAAAGCGTAATGCGCTTTTCAACAAACATTTTGTTTTCTTTGGGTTTCCTAAATGAAATTTAATTATGACCAGATTTGTTTACAAAAAGAGGAGACAAAAAGATTGCCAAATAAATCAATCACTGCAATTTATTTATATATTGCACTGCCAATACCTCTAAATCGATATCATTCCAAGAATAAACAAAGTAGCATTCTTACATGGGCGTGCTTCTCTGGCGGTTGTCGTAGAAGTTTTGGTAGAACCTTTCGTAGACCATGGGTATGTAGTTGATAGCCGTGTTGTGGAAGATGCGCACATGGTTCATAAACTTGGAGAGTGCAGCCGGTAGATAGACGAGAGCACAGCCTGACAACGAGAGAAAGATATTAAGAATACTCTTCTAGTACCCACCATCTCTCTATCCGGATCCCGATGCCCAGGTCTACTCACGATCAGCGGCAAGGGACTGTAGCATGGGCAGGTTGGAGATGCGCTCGGGGATGTGGAGCAGCGCCTCGTTGTCGCTCACATTGAGCTCGTTCAGGCGGACGCATTCGCTCAGCTGTATCGGCAGGCGGCGAAATTGGTTCTTGGCGATATTCAGGTGCTCCAGATTGCGCAAGCTGCTCAGCTCTAAGAGTGGAATAAGCAGAGGAATGGCTCCATGACATGATGTTCTACTTACCCACTGGAAGTTCGGTTAGCTGATTGCCCGAGACATTTAGTTGCTGGAGACTCAACAGGAGACCTAAGGTGGGAGGCAGTTCCTTCAGCTCATTGTTAGAAACGTCCAGGAACTCCAGGTTCTCCAGCATATAGATATCGGTAGGCAGCTCACTGAGATTATTGCCCGCCAGATGGATAAACTTTAGGGTAGTGATGTTTAGCAACCATTTGGGTATAACCGATATGAAGTTCTCTTTGAGGTAGACCTCCTCGAGATCCTCGTAGAGAAAGAGATCCATCGGCACATCCTTGAAGTTCAGGTAGCTCCAGTGGAGAATCGTTTTGTTCATGTTGGCGATAGCGTTGATACCGTTACAGTTACACAATGCCCGCACCGTGGTGGCGTCGTCAGGTTTTATTTGCTTATAGTTTGATGGTGTTTCAATTATATTTATTTGCGTCTCTACGCGGTCATGATCATCATTTGGCACCGCCACCCGCCAAACCAAAACTGCCACCGCCACCAGCGCCACCACAGCCACCCAGTGGCTCTGGCCCAGTGGCAGCGCCACTAGAATCAGCAGCAACAGTTTGCTCTCTCCCCACCGAGAATCTCCTTCGGTTCGGTTTTTACTATATTTTTTCGGCTAAATTTGTCTCACTGCCGTGTCGCAATTTCTCGCGAGCAAAACGTCTCTGATTTTTATTTTCTTCTTACTTATTTATTGTTTCAATAACGAATCACCCATCATCGCTGTCGTTCACTGTCCACCGACGTATACGTAATGTGCTGAGCGCCCGAAAGTATACCTCTTTTTTGTTTTGGAGGCGGCTAAATGCCTTCCGAGCTTTGGCACTGACATTGAATTTTCCTGCTGCATTGATTCTACCCCAGCTCCCTCTTCCTGATTGTTGTTGTTCTTGTGCTGCATTCAAGGTCATTGCTGCAAGCCAAACTAAAAGGGCAAGCTTCTGAAGCTTTGCTGAGGAGAAAGCTTTGTGGTAAAAGAAATGGGTTATGACAAGTTTCCATAAAATGGCCAATGGAAAGCACATTTTGCAGGGAAAACCAAGCTTAAAATGGCCAATGGAAAGCGCATTTGGGAGGGAAAACCAAGCTTAGCCTGCACGAAAAATTTCCTTGAATAAGTCATACATTTCGGAAAAGTTTTTAAACTGCAAATTAATCAAGAAGAAATCAAGATTTCTTTAAAGATAGTCAAAAACCTTTTTTAAAAATTGCTTAAACAAACACACAAAACTTTTAAAATTTTTCATAAATAACATAATAAATATTGTTTTATTTCGTATTCGAAAGTTCACACATGCCGACATACTGATGCCTTTTAAATTCAAAAATATTTCCCCCACCCTCGCATTGGTTTCTCAATATCCATATCCATATCCGTGATGATGATGATGAGGGGGGTAAGAATAATATCCATAAGGCGGCGGTGGAGGAGGAGGTGGTGGTGGCACTCCGAAACCCACACCAATTGGCAGCTGAAGAGGAAATCCAACTACGACAGGAGTAGCCATTGCTCCCGCAATGCAGAGTACGAGTCCGAGAAGAGCGATTACAGCTTTCATGTTTCTGGCAAGATTTCACAACCGACTGACAAATCTGAGGAGATGCTACTGGGTTTTAAGCGTGTTGCTGTTAGGTGATTTTTTTTGGACTTTCAATCACAGCGTAGACAAACAAACGAAATGAATTGAATTTCACCTGCCCAAAGGTGTAAATTGCCTTATGATTTGTATTTCCCCCTTTCAGTGCGAGTAGGTAATTATTCATTTTGGCTTTATTTTGCACATCAGCTTGGTATTATTATTGGTAAATCTTTTCTTCTAGAAATAAGTAATAAGACAAAGTTTGGATGCTTTTTTTCTAAAGTTCCAATCAATCTTTATTGTGAGTTTAAAATACCTTTTGAATATCCTAGAACTTTTTTAAAGAAGTTTCTTCCAGAAATCATTTTCAGTTCCTTTACTTCTTCAATAATGATGATCATGATGGTGGGGATCGTAATGAGGATCGTGATGGAAATCGTGGTGACTATCGTAGTGGGGGTCGTGGTGTGGATCGTAGTGTGGATGTCCTCCATGATGAGGTACAGCAAAAGCGGCTGCAATGATGAGCAAAAGTGCAATGAGTCCAATCACAGCTTGCATATTTCTGGTGTATATCTTCAACTGATGCATTTGCCTCGGATGCATCAGCCTTTTAAATGATTTTTGTATCTGTAATTTTGGGAATTTCACACCAAGGTGGACAAACAGAGCCGAATGTAAAGTAAACTTCAATAGCCCCCAAGTAAGTTGTTAATTATTTTACATATTTGGGTTATTTATTAAAGCTCTACACCGTTTATCACAAGTCTTAAAGGGGGATACAGAATTAGTCAAATCTCTGAAGTCTAGGTTCCTGATTTGACATTCACAGTCAGCTGTTTGAAGTCCTGATCGTTGAGCAGCCGCCATTTGTAGCCCAAGATCAAGGAGATCTCTCGCTCGACAGCCTCGTAGGATCGGGAGTTTTTCTTTAGCCAGGAGTTAAACTCATCGCTCCATTCCGGATGTCTTGGCCAGTCGCATCGCAGAATCACTGCAAATCTTCGTACATGCAGATGCTGCAGATTCTTGGCAGTTCGTGCAATCAGCAAAAGCGTCGAGGTGGAGACTTTCTCGCGGATGATCTGTGAAATATGGTGATAGGGTGTTAAGTGGCTGTTTATAAGTTTGAGAAATACCCCTAAAATTAGTCATTTAGTTAAAAGATTGTTAAGTTATAAGTTATTCTTTCTGATAAGTGAGTTGATATGTACATAATACTAGAAAATAATATGATCAAGTTTAGATATATCATTTTCTGACCCATTAACTCATTTTTTAGTCACTATTTTCAATATCTAACCGATTGCTTATGTTGCAAGTATACTCACCAGAGTGTCCACATTGTGGCATTGCCGGCACATAAGCAACATCAAGCTGTCGATGCGGCTGTGAAAAGGCTTGGGGCTGGAAAAGCGCGGCAGTAGCTCGTGGCCATAGACAGCCAGGGTGTTCCGGTAGTGGTCCACCATGCGGACCAGGAGCTCGGCCCGAATACGGGTCTGCGGTGCACAGTACGTGATGCTGTGGACAGGTGCCTCCGGCTGCATCACCACCTCGCCGTCCGTCAGGTTCTCCATTCGCAGGTGGACACGCAGTCGGGGATTGGTCTTCTTCACATTCCGCCAGGCCTTAACGCCGCAGGCACTTATTGTCAGGTGGTTTGGTGTGTAGCAGTTTTGTAGCAAGTGCAAGTGGCGCAATTTGGTGTCCGCCAGAAGGGACAAAACATCGTCATCTATGTTCTGGGGCGATATGGTGAGCACCTAAATCCAAATATTTATTCATCGCTGTGATAACAACCTCTGTTAAATCGTTTTCACCTGCAGATTGAGAAAGAGACCCACATGCATGATGGGGCAGTGCACTGTGGTGACATTCACCAGATTGAGGACCCTCATCTTCGTGCAACAGCTGCAGACCACCTCGTCCAGCAAATGATTTGCCTCGTAACGCTCTAGAACAAAGTCCACTAACTTGAGGGTGTGAAGGTCTGTCAATCGCAGGAGCAACTCCTTCAAAACCCTTAGCAATTGACCTCCAGTTCCGAACAACTTGATTCCCTCCGGGTCATTGGGCTGAGACATATTACAGGGAAAGTGATAGACAAGTGTTCTGATTCGGCGACCAATGCCAATGAACTCTGTACCAGGATTCTCCTCTCTACCCTGGAATAGTTTAATATTATATATTTTGAAAATAATAAATGAAATCAAAATAAGTTTATGTTACCTTATCAATATTCCAAGTCAACATAGTCATGAATTGGAAAATATTATTGAAACTGTGCCATGGACGAAACTCGATCCCTCGCAAATACTTTCCAATCTTTGAGAGACAAAACTGTGTTCGCATGTGATCCAGGCAAAATTGCCAGCCGGAGTAGTAGTTATACTTTGGTTTGGTGAGGGTGCGATCGTCAACCAAAAAGTTATTCCAAACCGTTGGCAAATAGAAGGCTCTGTACCACTGTCGGCAAACCTTTAAAATATCACAAAAGATCAACACCCTTTAGCTATAGGAGTTGTAAGTATAAACATATGTTCGTAAACTTTGTCTACAAATTTTGCAAAGATTAGATAATGATTTTATCATTGAACAACTATAAATTATACTTTTCCACCTAAAAGATAAGCTGCATAAAATCAAGAAAACTAAACAACTCTCGCTTTTAGCATAGGCAATTCTGTATTTTTTACGACAGCGAACAGCTGTTGTTGGTACTGGAAACAATGCCATATGAACTTATTTGTCTGTTTTTTTCAAAGGTCAGCTCGGATGTGCCATTGTAATGTAAACATACTGAATTTTTGGTTAAACATTTTGTAAGACTTTGAGCCAAAAATAATATTAGCGTATAGTGCTTTTAAGTAAGAAGACCATAAATTTAAGTTTTTAGTTTAAGGTCATAGAAGTAAAAATATTTAATTAAAGAAAAAAAGTAGATATGCATCGGCCGGGAATCGAACCCGGGCCGCCCGCGTGGCAGGCGAGCATTCTACCACTGAACCACCGATGCTTGGTGAGAGCTTAAGCTCCCAAATCTTAACTTAAATTTGAGGCTTTTTAAGCATTCTATATATAGAATTATAGATCGGTCTTTAAATTTCTTGTCAAGATACTTCGTAATTTTGGGATTTCCAGGCGAAAGAACTCGAATTCTAGAAATTTTACTCCTGATAAATTATAGAGGTGACATAAAGTCTATATAATGCTGTTAATAATACAGTAATACATAAGAACTTTATGTGACGAAACTTTCCAACTATTATTCGTGTTATTTCTGTATACGCACCAGTCCGGCATAGTAGCGCTCTTTGGGGCTGAGGTAGGTAAAGATTTGTTCAAGAACCAAATCAGGTAGATAACGCCAATTCGATTCTATCATGTTTTCAGTGTCCTGTTCCTCATCCTCATCAACATCGATGTAGCAGGCTGTATGGGTAAGAGATTATTATGATGCTCTGTCATGTGACTCCTTTGATTACCCTTCTCATCTCCATCGATCTTCCAGCCAGCCTTTTGCATAACCTCCAACTGCCCGCTGCCTTTGCGCCCCACACTCATTGCACTCATGTTTGTGATATATTGTTATTATTATTGTACGAACTTTTGAATTATTTACAACCCAAACGACCGCACTGAACTATATGTACTCTAATTTTGAATTTTTTTTTTGGCACAGCCTGCTCAGATGGCTTCTTCTTGCTTTCGGTTTATTTTTATATAGTTGGACCGATCGACTGTCCGCTGCACTCGCAGTTGCGTCGCGTTTGGCCAGCGACTGTCTCCCGAATAGATTGTGATTCTTTCACATATTCAAATCGCTCTGTTGGCTATTTTCGAAAACTGAAACTAAAAAAATCGGAAAAAAAACGTTTTTCAGTTTCTCGTGTTCGAAATTGTTAGGTTCTCGCCGCCCCACACAAATTGCCAAAGACCTGCGTTTTCAGCCTTCTTCTCTTCATAGCTTTTTCCGATTTATTTTGGTTATTATTTCTTTTGTTGATCTTTTTGTTGATGCTTGGAACTACGCTCGAGATATGGCAACTGTTGTGATTCCGATTCTCTGTTGTTTTCATTATTCCGATTTTAAAATTAGACACCGGCACTTTGGGCAAGGTCTTAGGGCCTACGTTCCGTGGCACCGAACTGGGGCAACTTGTTGATGCCCCTGCTGGCTGGCGAGGTGTAAATTATAAATAAACACTTGAGCTGTTTGGATTTGTGGTGATCTGATCGATCCGCATCTTATTGCATGTGCTTCCATATATCTGTAGACGCTTTAAGTGCATATGCACGTGTCTGGAGTAGTCGTGCACTGAAAGAAATTTGTATAGTTCTATACAAATTGTATTTTGCATACTTTAGTCTCTTTAAACACATAAGCAAATTGGTTTTGCTAAGCAATATCATAATGCCTCTAATCTACCCCATACATTAGGAAAGTACAGCATTACTTGAGTCAAAGAAGCTGTTAGCTACTTACCAATCTTTGCCAGTTATCTTATTCTTCGCTTTTGACACTTGACCCCACTTTGCCCGCAGAAGGCGGATGAAAATTCCATCAGGCCACGAAAGGATGCCATCGTCGTTTCCTTGACGATGCCACCAACTGAGCCAGCTGTTATCCCGTTTTCCGATTTTCCGCTGTCCACTTGTGCATTGTCATTTTCTCCACACACACAAATACACTCACTACTTACGTATACGTAATATAGCCAAGTTGCCGGAGTGTCCAGGTACACTTAGCGGAAACAGCTGTTTATGTTGATGGGCCAACGCCAAGAAAGGCATTTGACCATTTTCCTGGCTCCTTTTTAGCCCTTCGCTTCGCTTTTCCGTATTTTTATTTAGCGAAAAAAAACAGCGGCAACTTTTCCGTATTGCAATTTCCTTTTTGCGTTGCATACTTTTAGGATCATGGAATTTTTCCGCGCCCAAGCACTTAAAAATATGCTGAATATTGAATGAGCCCGGGAACTAGTGGGAGAATTCAGCTGGTACGAGAGAGCGAGAACTGCAACAATGCGCAATACGGGCTTAATTAAAACAATTTTAAAACCAGTTAAAACACACTTCAGTCCACCATGTGCACACATATGCACACAGCCAGGCGGCTGACAGTTGGCAAGAGCGCCCTTCCGCCTTCGGTTGCGAAAACATCAAATATGACAGGCCAGGCCTGCAACCAAAATGTTCCTATGCAAATTTAAATGTCAACAAAAACTTGCAGTTTAACCCAAAAACCTTATTTGTGTCTGCCGGCCCAGATGGCCGTCATCTCTCCTAGCCTTTTCCAGGGCTGCGGAATTGTGTGCAAGCTCCATTAAAACTGACCAGCGATTAGAGATGACTACGTGAGTTCAGCTTTAATCTTTTTTTAATTTAAAAAAAAATGGTTACTTAAAGTATGTATATATCACCGTTAAAAGTATCTTCATAAATATGTTTCCTAACTTCTTAAAATTTAATCTGCAACAATTTTCAACAAAGACTAATTTTTATTTCTAAACAACTTTTTTATGAGTTCAACTCTTTCGCACCTCTAGTTGGGATTTGTGAAAATTATGGTTGGGGTTTGCCGGTCAAAATATGCATATGGATATACCTCTGTGCGTGCTGGTGGGTCGGCGGCTTAAACTGGAAAACAGGAAGTGGCTGGTTGGCTTGGCTAACCAAGCCGGCAGGAGCCGACCAGGCCAACAAGTCCTGTTATTGTTGGCTTTGCCGGTTTGTTTGGTTGCATGGCCTTGCTCAGGTGCATCGCACTGGCAGCTGTTTGGGGGCCATTGTTTGGCCATCGGATGTTTCCGAGTTTCGGAATTTAATGTATAATTTTGTAGCATTTTAACTACTGCCTGACTGCTTGACTTGACCCATTCTGACATTCTGCCATTTGGCCATTTTGGCCATGTGGTTATGTAAATTGTGGACTTCTGCTTTGGGGCGACATCGCTAAGGAGGTTGATGTGTTGTGACTTGACTGTGCATTTGTGAATTGCATTTTAATGGCCACTCGGAGGGCTTTTCCTTTGGCGAGGGAGTTTTGAATTCAAATTTATTGATACTTTGAAAGGGAAATGGGTTAATAGTCCTGGTTTTTGGCCATTTTCTAAAAGGTTTCATTGACTTGAATTCACTTCTTGGAATTTAAGCAAAGCGGGTTATTTTCAAAATAAATGTTTGTCTTATTGAAAAAAAAAATTGATTTGCATCGGCCGGGAATCGAACCCGGGCCGCCCGCGTGGCAGGCGAGCATTCTACCACTGAACCACCGATGCTTGGTGAAGGAAGGGGTTTCAAAAAATGTCCTATTTTTAGAGGAGTTAAAAATAATTTATTAATAGAACTTAAAATTAATTAAATTCTTATCTTAATATTGAGATAGGGAGTGAGCACCCTCAAATCTTTATTTTTGTATAATTCTTTAAATTTTCTTTCCAAAATAACATTCGTATACCTAATATACGAGTATATGACAATTTTCTTCAGATACGCACCTTCGACATACATTTTGAAACTTCCTTAATCTTTTTTACCATCTACTTAACAAAGGCAAAGGCAGACATTTGTTTGATCCGATTGCACATTGGTTATTTCGAAACTTGGTTTTGTCCATTTTCTGGCAAACTTTGTGACAGCTCGAAACTGCCTAAAATAACAATGAAATCCTAGAGAGCAGCTGCTGCTTATGCAAAGTTTTTGTGGTGAGTGGATAACTTAAAGCCCAAAAAGTTTGCATAAACATATACTCTCGTGTATAGGGCTCAATCACATCAGCAATTTTGCAGAACGGCGATGCGATGGTCCCCTCGACTTCCGTACCATCCGGACTCAATTGTTCTGCCATTGTCACCAGCCAGCAAGCAATTTGGCTTGACAATAGTCATGCATTTTAATTGTGCAGCAGCTGCGGTTCATCGGAAGGAATTTTGCTGCCCTACGGAATGGGTGGGACTGGCGGCCTGCTAAACGCAGCAAATTGTGTGGCCATTAAAAAAAGTGCCATATAAAAATAGGAAACTTTTTTTCGCCAGCAATTATTTGTAAAATATTTATTTAACAATTGAATTGAAAAAGTTTCTGCCTCTGGCAGTTGGCCCCCCAAAAATGTATAGAAGAGGAGCAACTTTGGCCTACTAATCAAATGAATGGGAATTAAGGCAGCGCCAATGCAAAGAATATTTTCGCTGGCTGGTTGGCAGGCTGGCTGGTTGGCTCGCTGGCTGGTTGGTGTTCAAAACAATTAAGCTAAAATTGTTATTGCAATTTGAAAACAATTGTCAAATTATGCAAATTCCATTTGATTGCCTCGAGTATTTTTCAGAACAGAGCACCCCTCGAGTCCTCTGCCAAGCTAACAAGGTAAACAAGGCCCAGACTTTACCCCTGCCCTAAAACCCATCTCAAGAAACCAAGCCAAAACTCTGGGGGTGGCGAAAACTGCTCAAAGATTTATGGGCAAATGCCTCAAGTGTTTGCCGTGGAAAGGGAAAAAGTTTTTGGGAGTGCGTCGGCAGCTTCCTTTACTTGGCGACGAGGAGGTTGTCAACTGCAAGGCGACTGCAATTTGCATAAAAATTCATTGGTTTGGCGGCAAGTTGACAAAAAAAAAAAAAAAAAAAAGAAATGAAAAAGTAAGGTAGCAGCGGAAAGAGCTAAAAGAATTATCCTTGGGATAACAAAATGTTAATACTCTTCGAAGAATATTTTAGTGAATTAAGGTCTTTGAATTAATTGGAAAAGTTTTTATATTTATGGTTTGGCTTGTCTTGAGAGAAGTTTATATATTTATTAATTTAGTTCCTCTTTTTGGGTTTGGTGTTTAACTAAGCAATATAATTGGGTCTTCACTGAACTGATGACAGACTAGTTTAAAGTTACTATAAGAAATATGAAAGACCTTTACGGTAGTAGCTCTCTGCTCAGTACAAGCTGAACAGTCGCAACAGCTTCTGGGTAACCTGTAAAAAACCAGTAGAAAATAGCATAATGACCAGGATCAAAACATGTGCCACCAACTTCCCGACAACATTTCCGTTACATTAACAAAGCGCCATTGTGCGGCACGAACGGCAGCAACAATAATGGCCAAGTCAAAGGACAGCTGCGAAAATGGCGCACACGCTGCGCTTTACAAGCGTAAACTACATTTTTTGCCTTTTTTTTTTGGTCAAGTAGTGGACATCAGATATACCACCTAACTCCCATACACACGTTACCTATACCACCAGAATCCATGTAGTCGAGTGCGTGTGTATTTTTCGGTCAGTTTTGTAATTGAATCACGTTTTGTATTAAATAAACTTTTCAAATTATCGAAAAATTGACTTGCACTACAAACGGCGTTCTGCCTAGTTTAATTTACTTGTGTGTGCGTGCCCCACTCACACACACACACAGAGCTAGAGCAAGAGGCCGTTGTGCGTGTGTGTTAACCATTAACATAAAAAAGCCACCCCAACTGAATGGGCTTCCTCCCTACACTTTTTGGCCGGTTTTTTATGCAAAACACTTGACAGCCTCATTAGTATTGAAACGGTCAAAGTTGTTCGAAAACGACCTCTCCCTGTGTCCCTCTCTTTAGTGTTGGCCTCCTGTTCGCGCATTGACGCGCCCGCATATAAGTATGCTGCAAAAGTGGAGTTAGGGATGGCAAAAAGGATAATCCTTCTAAAGTATTGAAAAATGTTTAAATATTATGCGAGTTGGTCATAAAAATCGTTTCAAGAATATCACATAATCTTAAAAACTGAGAGGAATCTCCATTTATGCAGCTTAAATGCTGGAATATAGC